GTACTCCTAAGAGGTCCTACCTCTGCTGTCCTGGTATAAAAGTACTCCTAAGAGGTCCTACCTCTGCTGTCCTGGTATAAAAGTACTCCTAAGAGTTCCAATGGCAGGAAAGTATATCCCTAATGAGAGTTCTATCCCAAGGAAGCAAATAAAGCAGATGTTGGGTAGATCTGAAAATAAATTACCTGAAATTTTATCTCAAACTTAATTTTTTTTCTAAACCTTGACCGTATTTCAAACTATGAACTAGACGCCAAAATAAGTGTTAAAGATTTACTCGCAAACAAAAAGCAATTATAAACCAACGTTGGGGGAAAGTGTTCAGTTTCTCTTATAATATTTTGTTGTAGTGGAACTGGGAGGTAACAATAATTGAAAGAAAATTTTTATCCTGAGCCTTTCAGATTATTGTGAACCAAGGAAACAGCTAAATAATAATAAATTCACCTGATTAAATCGATCAGCCGATTAAGTCTTTACTTTTTTAGTTTTATATCGTTTCTCATTTGAACCAAACCTGACACTGAGTTTTCTCAAGTTAATGAATTGACCTGTAAATACTGTAGCACCAATGTTAGATAGATAGTTAATGAATTGACCTGTAAATACTGTAGCACCAACGTAGATAGTTAATGAATTGACCTGTAAATACTGTAGCACCAACGTTAGATAGATAGTTAATTAATTGACCTGTAAATACTATAGCACCAACGTTAGATAGAAAATTAATGAATTGACCTGTAAATACTGTAGCACCAAGGTTAGATAGAAAGAAGGAAAGGGTAGATATTGATAGAATACGTGCAGCAGATATCATTTTTATCAAACGCCTAGAATTTAAAGAATTTTAAATTAATAAGATGATTAGAAAAAACGTTGATATAAAAAAGTATCTGGATATCTGGATATCTGGATAACTGGGTTTCTGGGTATATGGGTATATGGGTATATGGGTATCTGGATATCTGGATATCTGGATATCTGGATATCTGGATATCTGGATATCTGGATATCTGGATATCTGGGTATCTGGATAACTGGGTTTCTGGATATCTGGATATTCGATCTACCTGAATATAAAGGATCCAACCATGATAGAGACCATAAAGCTGGCAAATATTCTTCCTAAAATAAGAATAAGATGCAGGGAATCATTCATTAGTTTCTATTCAGGCTTATTGTTCATTTCTCTCTTTCCTTAAACTTATACTTTTCAATTCTAGATTTTAGAAAAGATATTGAGAATTAAATTCCTTGAAAGAAGCTGTAGAACCATTTTAACATTTATTCTTGGTTTCAAATATATCCCTCTATTATTATATGTAAAGTTGCATGGTAATACATATACTGTATTTGCAGTACTGTACTTTACTATACTTTACTGTACTGTACTGTACTGCCTTTTACTATGTTGTCTTGTACTTTACTGTCTTGTACTGCACTGTCTTGTCCTGTACTCTCTTGTACTGTTCTGTCTTGTACTGTACTGTCTTGTACTGTGCTGTCTTGCACTGTACTGTCTTGTACTGTATTGTCGTGTACTGTACTGTATTGTACTGTCTTTTACTGTACTGTCTTTTACTGTACTGTCTTTTACTTTACTGTCTTGTACTGTACTGTCTTATACTGTACTGTCTTGTACTGTACTGTCTTGTACTGTACTGTCTTGTACTGTACTGTCTTGTACTGTACTGTCTTGTACTGTACTGTATTGTATCGTAATGCACTGTACTGTACTGAACTGTACTGCACTGAACTGTACAGCACTGTAATGTACTGCACTGTATTGCACTTTCCTCTACTGCACTATTTTGTACTACACTGTAATGTACCCATACTAAACTGTATTGTACTATACTGCGTTGTGCCAGTGCTACTATTATACCTAGTGGGGCTGCTGTACCACCAGCAGATAACGTTGGTGTCCACAAATACACAAATGTAAACATACTGGATTCAACTAAAATAAAAATAAACAGTGATTACTTGGTAAAATCAGAACAACAGAAATCGTCTTTAGACTTAGTAATTTGTATATTTAACGCTAAAGAAGTGCCATGCATATTGCAATTTAATTTTTTTAAAGTGTTTTTTTAAATGATTCAACAAAGATTGGTTTCATTCCTCATTATACTCGGCATGACTCATAACTGTATTTTTTTTTCTAAGATCAGAAATATGGGACTTGAAAACTTCTTCCAAGATTACCCATGTTACTTCAGATAAGACTGTACGAAATGAATACTGTCTGTTTCCATCAGGAGTATCAAAAGAAAATATATTCATGGTTCCCAGTAATTGTTACCTTGTTACTTTCTTTTCCAAATCAATAAATGGACTACTAAACGACTATATTTAGGGCAGATGCTCAAATAGTTTCAGGTCGTCTTTACAGTCTTATTTCTGTGAGTAACCCTGTAGTTCCATATTTGAACTCTTTAATTTTGTTTAAAAAATTATGGGCATATAAGTAACCCTACCTAGAGCCTGTACTGCACCAATACGAAGAATATTAGAGTTACTGATGATAGTTTTATAACCCTAAACATTTTAGCAAATAAAATCAAGATAAACTCAGGTTAAATCAAGATAAAATCAGGATAAAATCAAGATAAAGTCAAGATAAAATCAAGATAAAATCAAGATAAAACCAGGATAAAATCAGGATAAAATCAAGATAAAATCAAGATAAAATCAGGATAAAATCAGGATAAAATCAAGATAAAATCAATATAAAAACTAAATGACATAGAAAAAAAAATCAAATACATATAAACCTTATTTTTGAGAATATCTGAATTTAAATAAAACCTGTTTATAGGTTTGTAAAACATTGATGTCTCTGTCTCCATAGTTTTCTTTCCAGAAAATTCCTAGATAAAAAAATATCCTTTTACTATTTTTAATCTTTACTAATTTTTTTGATAAAAATTACTATTCTTACTCAAATAATGGTATAAAAAGACCTATCTAAGAATAAGATAATTATATTTACCTATCACAAAAAAACTATAAGAAATAATACACAATTATTTTTAAAAATAAAAGTTTAGTAAGTATGATACGATTATATTATCATTACAAACATTGAATTGTAATAATTATCAAGAAAGAAAATTGAAGTCGAATTTTAAATATAAAAAGTGTATTATTTAATTTCCTAAGGGTTAAAATAGGAATTGCTAGAAGAAATGGAGCGGTTGGAGCAAATTCCAGATCTCTGAAAAAAATGATCTAAGCAAGCTGTCTATGAATGTTGCTGAAGCAATTTAGTGAATTGTTGTTATAGATAGTCAAGCTAGTAATACATTTTGTTAACAGTAAGCTAGGTTTGAATGTTGTTTAAACATGCTAGATGGTAATGACGACATAACAAGATCGTCATGAATAAGAATAAACACAGAAAAACAGAATGGTTACATTTAAAAAGTTTAGAAATAGAAAATTACAGATAGATGTAAAAAGTTACAAAAGAACTGTTACAAGAAAAAAAAAATCAGAAAAAATTTGAATTGAAGAAAACTTGTTAAACCTGACAAGTACATCTGCGAGTATTCCTGCAAAAATTGCAAGATTACTGTTGATCAATGCAAGCAAAGACAAGGTATTCGAAATCTCTCCTGAAATAAAAATTATAAAAACATTAATTACATTTAAAATTAAAGAAAAGCTTTTTTATTAAATACCTGAATCGAATGAGTTATTTTTATGCTCTGACACATACCTACATATAAGACATTATTTAGTAAAGAATTATTTAAATTATTAGGAGTGTTACCAAAAAGAATATGCGGTAATTGGTAGATTTTTGTTCACTCAGCATTAGAACGATAACAATCAATATTTATGAGAAAACTAGCTGAAGGGCCCGGCGTTGCCCATGGAAAAAAAAGTTGAAAAAAATGTTGAAAAAACAAATTTTGAAGAAAAAAATTTCGAATTTTTGTTTAGACTTTAACAACTGCCGGCCCCCACCATTTCAGCCCAATCGGTCCAGCCGTTTGGCCGGCTATAGGCAACATATATATATATGCGAATGTCTTGTTTTATTATATAGATGGTCGGAACTTCTGAAGGAGAACAGATTGGTTTAAAAATGTTCAAAAATTGAATATAATTTTAGATATAATTAATGAAACCTGGTCTAATCAAATACGATAACGCTTAATTATATATTATTGAATTTGTTCGCAACTATGGTGATGAAAAAGTGTAGAAGTTGAAGCGTTCTACCAATGCTAGCCGTTTTTGATTTATTGAGATAACCCCACAGGTGGGGTGAAAAACACCCCCCCCCCCCCCACCCAGCCATAATGGGGTTAAAAGGTACACACAACAATACAACCTATCATTTTTCACGAACACTCCCTTTAAAGAAGTCGTAAAATATTATTTTGTAAAAAATGAAATGTTTAAATTACCAAGATTCGAAAACTGAATGAAGACACGAGGTTGATATTCCGCCAAAAATTCTTCCAATCAGAAGAATTTGTAGATTTCCGCTAATCTAAATAAATGTGTTCACTCATTCGAAAATATACACTTTACAGTTAACTTTACAATAGGAAGACGACTTTTAGACATAATTATGATTTTAAACAGTGCAGTTGAATGTGAAAGTAAAACACAACAATTGTGCAGTATACATACTATACAGGCTTATATATTTTCGCAAATACTGAAATTTACGTAATATAGAATAAAACTCAATTGTCAAGACGACATAAATTCTTCCGATGTATTCGTTATTAAGGGTTTCACTGTATTTAACTTACTCTACTGGTAAAACTATTTGGTTCATAACACCATAAGTATAAATAGAGTTGTTTAAATGTCGTCTTTCTATTACAATTTTATGTTTAGTAACATTGTATATTTTCTTTTCACAGACAATCCTGTTTTTAAAATCCAATGTTAACATAATTCCAGATTTTTATTGTTTCCTCCATTCTTGTACTTTTCAATTGCAAAAATGTTTGTTAGTGTTTAAAAATGGTTCAATGTATTTTAAAAATTCAAGTTTATATTTGTGAACTCCAATGCCTTTTTTTAGTACCTTTGTAAGGCAGCATATTCCATATACTAGACAGAAAACCTAAATTAATTTTTGATAAATATATTTAATTTTTCACATTTATTATATCAATTATTTTTTTGATACCCCACATGCAGGAATATTATAAGAAACTAGAAAGTTGAATGATTTATTCATAAAAGCCTTTTTCGCGCTTTTTTTAGGAAAATGCGCGAAAAGGTAAAGATGACATTCTTTCCGCTCCTGAAGATGTCCCAACTTCCGGAGCGGTAAGATATAGTAAGTCGTCTTCTTGATTCCAAAAATTGGGGGTTTTGATCCAAAATTTTTAAAAGACGAATATAATTTGTAGAATACATAAAAAAATAGGAAATTGTTATTGTTGTCATATGACGTCTTTATTATTAAATATTTTTCTGTAATTTGAAAAATAAATTTTTACTTACCAAGGCCATCCGTTTCCTTCCAAATATATCCGCCAGCGGTCCTGATAAACTACCGAAGACACAACTAGACACATATCCTGAAATATATCCTAATAAACTACCGAATATATCCGCCAGCGGTCATGATTAACTACTGAAAACACAACTAAACACATATCCTGAAATATATCCTAATAAACTACCGAATATATCCGCCAGCGGTCATGATAAACTACTGAAAACACAACTAAACACATATCCTGAAATATATCCTAATAAACTACCGAATATATCCGCCAGCGGTCCTGATAAACTACCGAAGACACAGCTAGACACATATCCTGAAATATATCCTGATAAACTACCGAGTATGTTCACCACCGGTCCTGATAACCTTCCAAAAACACAACTAGACACATATCATGAAATATATTCTAATAAACTACCGAATATATCCGCCAGCAGTCATGATAAACTACTGAAAACACAACTCACACATATCCTGAAATATATCCTAATAAACTACCAAATATATCCGCCATTGGTCCTGGTAAACTACTGAAAACACAACTAGACACATATCCTGAAATATATCCTAATAAATTACCTAATATATATCCGCCAGCGGTCCTGATAAACTACTGAAGACACAGCTAGACACATATCATGAAATATATTCTAATGAACTACCGAATATATCCGCCAGCGGTCATGATAAACTACTGAAAACACAACTCACACATATCCTGAAATATATCCTAATAAACTACCGAATATATCCGCCATTGGGCCTGGTAAACTACTGAAAACACAACTAGACACATATCCTGAAATATATCCTAATAAATTACCTAACATATATCCACCAGCGGTCCTGATAAACTACTGAAGACACAGCTAGACACATATCATGAAATATATTCTAATAAACTACCGAATATATCCGCCAGCGGTCATGATAAACTACTGAAAACACAACTCACACATATCCTGAAATATATCCTAATAAACTACCAAATATATCCGCCATTGGTCCTGGTAAACTACTGAAAACACAACTAGACACATATCCTGAAATATATCCTAATAAATTACCTAATATATATCCGCCAGCGGTCCTGATAAACTACTGAAGACACAGCTAGACACATATCCTGAAATTTTTCCTGATAAACTACCGAGTATGTTCACCACCGGTCCTAATAACCTAGCGAAAACACAACTAGACACATATCATGAAATATATCCTAATACACTACCGAATATATCGGTCCTGATAATCTACCGAAAACACAACTAGACACATATCCTGAATAAACTACCGAATATATCCGCTAGCGGTCCTGATAAACTACCAAAAACACAACTAGACACATATCCTGAAATAGAAGAACATAATTTGGTAAATAATTGTATTTCTTTCTTTTCATGCTAACTGATGTCTTTCTGTAGACGTTAACTTATAGAACTTTATTCAGAGTGGAAACCAAATACAGAATACAGGATTAATACAAAGCACTTGATAAATGGTGTATTCCGAATACAGAATACAGGATGAATACAAAGCACTTGATAAATGGTGTATTCCGAATACAGAATAAAGGATGGATACAAAGCACTTGATAAATGGTGTATTCCGAATACAGGATGCAGGACGGATACAAAGCACTTGATAAATGGTGTATTCCGAATACAGGATACAGGACGGATACAAAGCACTTGATAAATGGTGTGTTCCGAATACAGAGCGGATACAAGTCACTTGATAGATGGTTTATTCTGAATACAGGATACAGGACCGATGCAAAGCTCTTGATGTATTCCAAATACACGATAATGGAAAGATAAGAAGCACTTGATAATGGTGTATTACAAATACACGATACAGGATGGATAAGAAGCACTTGATAATGGTGTATTACAAATACACGATACAGGATGGATAAGAAAGCACTTGACAAATGGTAATTTCCGAATGCAGGATACAGTCTACAGGATGGATAGAAAAGCAAAAGACAAAAACAGTTGGTATTCACCCAAGTGCAAATACCTGAAGTCAAAAAGGTTGTGTTTTGAATCTTGAGATAAAGCATTGATCTCCATTTTGTGAGGATCTACGGATAAGTTTAGCTTGTTTTCTACTTTCCATCTTGATCATGCAATGATCATACCCTACAGGAATAACTTTAATTAAAGGATTAGGCGTGCATGTATTTTCAAACATTTGAAAGGGCCCATATTGGATATTAAGATCAAGTGTTTAAGATTACTTCACAAAAAACATCCGAGCTCTGGTCACAATACTAAGTCGTCATCATTTTGAAATTCAACACATGATTTAGATAGCAGTATGAATCTCTATGAATGATACTAGGCTGAATGTTTGTTACAGAATACACTATAGTATTTACCTGTTAGAAAAAGAAGCGCAATGTTCTCCTCGCTATGCCCATAATAGGAATATAATCTAAATAACAAAATAACACTTTTCATGATTTTTTTAAATTTTTAAAAGGCTCTTTAACGTACCCTTCTAATTCATTGGGAATGGGGGATGATTCGAATGCTAAAGTTAACTTTAAGTTATTTCTTATCAAAAACCAATATTGATTATACATCTGTAAGTGATGATTTTGCAAATAAATCGCTTACCTGTGTACATAAGGGCCCTGTAGCCAGTCAGCTGTGTAACGTTACAATCATTTATCTGTACATACGTTGTACACTGTACACTGTACCGTCCACAGAAATTTAAGAGAGTATTGTGCCACATAAAGTCCAAATTTCCTTTTTGGGGTATTTACATTTGCGTAGATTTTAATTTACGAAATCAGAAAACAAAAAGAGAATATGAAGAAACCATATTAAACAATAGTTCTAAACAAAAACAGTGGTACTCTGTTTAAAGTTCTGGGCTCTGTGTAGTGTGTACATAACAGAATCAGTTTATATATATTTATATTTTTTTAAATAGGTAAAGGTTTAAAGATTTGGAAAAATTCATGAAAATATTGAAGTTTGTCTGGTAAAAAGTACGATTCCCCCTGCTATTTATTTTTCAGGAAGGAATTTAAAGAAGTACACATTTTCCATCTTAAAACTCTTTATATCTCTCAACTAAAAAAAACAATTGTTCTTTTCTACTAAAATTTTAATATGATTGAATTTGCCTAGAAGAGCGAGTAGGTTTGCGGTCAAGAATATCTGACGTAGATGGGTCAACCTTTTATCCTTCACCTGAAGGATATAAAGGGTGTAAAAAAAACCTCAAACATAGGAAGAAATTAAAAACTAGGAAATTAAAAAAAAAATTACAAAAACTTTTCATTCATGAAGATTCAATAAGATATTTCACCGTTGCATACAATAAATAAAGAATAAAAGTGTTAGTACTAAGATTTTTATTTACTTTTCCGCTTTTTTCTCAGTACACCCTTCAGCTTGCAAATTTAGAACTATTAGAATGAAAATAGGAAAGATCACATCGTTTAAAAAGACCTTATCTAAAAATGCTATCCCGAATAGTTCAACAATTTGTTTACTATGCGTACCAAGTGAAAAATATTTTGCTTTAAAAATCCCAGTTTAAATCTTAAACTTCAAGAATATGTGGCTGTTTAAATAAAAAAATAGATATTTATGAAAAATGTGTGATTATTCCTGTTGAATAGTTTGTACTTTTACCAGAATTTTGTAGAAATTTACCTTATTTTCAGGATTTAAATCTTTAACAACTGTTCTTTCAGTAAAGAAAAGATATGAAGCTAGCACAGACAAACCCCCCAAACAGACACTCACTATAATAATTATGTTATATATGGATTTTCTTGTAGCAATTTTATTTTAATAATCTTTAAACACTTTAGAAAATTATTTTTGCAAATTCAAACTAAACTTATGAATAAAGTTGGTTTGTTTTTCTATTTTGGGTGTGTACTTTTAATGCACTGTAGAACAATAACTTTGAAACAATATAAACACATAATAGAAAAACTTTGTTAATGCCGAAAATCAGATAGCTAGATAGATAGATAGATAGATTTAGATAATTAAAAACCAAATCACACGCGAAACCGCGTTGGATCTTGTAAAAATTGAACTTCTCCACATGTTCAATAACATTTTGAAATCACAGTTTTAACCAAAATTGTAACAACTATTGCCTCAGGGAGCAAGGATGTTTAGTTATATTAGCAAAAAAAAAACTATAATTTATATGTTCTGAGCTGGGAACTTTTGAATGGTGGATATCGGGATTAATGCTTGATCCACTCTTTTTTTTGATCTCGAGATTAAAGAAGGCTTGTTCGCCTCCAGATTAATCTCCAGATTAATTAACCGATCGGGATTAAGGACATTCCATTCTATAGTTTTCAGCTTAGGTTAAGTAAGATGCAAGACATATCTTTAAAATCTTTAGTCAACGTCACTCAACGCTGCATTCGGCTTTAAAATAGTAAAGACATTTTGTCGGAAGACAAAATTGGTGCGGACAGGAAGCCCTACGGGTGATCGCGCGGCCGTAAATTCATTTTGGGCTCATTCATTTGCGAAAAAAGACAAACGGTGCGGCGTGTCTCCGCCTCTGGTCACTCTCATATTACAATAAGTATTTAGCAGCAGCAAAAGATAAATCTTTTTACCTAAATTCTCCAGTCTAACAATCATTTTAATTTATCACTTATTAACATATGTATACATCTAACAATAACATATTGGAGTGGTGTACTAGCAACCTTGCTACCAACTAGATATTGCAGATTTATATGTTCACCTAAATGTATTGTAAACACACGTATACAGTATATGCACCTGTATACTTCATCAAACAACTACAAATACTGTGAAATTCTAAACTTATTTCACTACTTCAGAGAGAGAGAGAGAGAGAGAGAGAGAGAGAGAGAGAGAGAGTGAAAATTAGATGATAAGAATAGAAAGATAGATAGATAGATAGATGGATAGATAAGAAAATTGACACAGTTCGTTGATTAACATTCACCTGTACTTCATGACAATTCATTTTTCTTCTACAACAAGTTTATTACCTGCATCCAGTTCAAATATTCAAAGTCTTGCTCGCTAGTTTGGTCATTTCCAAGCATTTAAAACTTTTTGAAAACTTTTATTCAGCTCTTCATTTTTCATTGAATTTTAATTGGATTCTTAGCGAATCTTTCTCATATCACCCCCCTGGACAAATTCCTGAGTACGCCTTTGAATGTTCACTGTCCATCTATTTCACAGTCTGTCTATTTCAACGTATTTCTGTTTGACTGTCTGAGCCCGTTCTCTCCATAAAAAGTGGTCGTGTAATTCACGTACTTTGGGGGACGATATGTTGGCCGCTAGATGTCTCATGCTAAATGCATATCTGATAGATATATATTTCTCCGTACATTTGACGACCAATATAGAAGACGTCAATTTGTCGACCAATGTAGTTTATGGAAGGAACGGCCTCTGGTTGTTTGACTGTCTGTCCGTGTTGTAACTCTGCAGGTTATTGATTCAACAACCCCCCCTATATAGTATTATCAACCTAGTACTATCAGGGCTATATTATAGTAATCAACCATCTGACTTTAGATACAACCCCCCCTATATATAGTATTATCAACCTAGTACTATCAGGGCTATACTATAGTAATCAACCATGCTGACTTTAGATACAATTGCTGATATTCAAATTCAGAGAGAAAATAAAATCATAGAAGACACCTTTTATCAAAGTCCAGACCCCCCCCCCCCTCTTTTCTGTTTTTCATTGGAGAACCCGAGCTTTTCATAAATCAGACACTCATATATATATATACCACCAAATTTTTATCAGCGAACCCAAGTTTTTCATCGGACACCCAACAATTTTCTTTAAAGCTAGGAGACTAGGAAGAACCCATCTTTGGAGTACTGTAGGGGACCCCCCTTGACCATCTCATCGGAGACCCACAGATTTCATTAGAGACCCCAAGCTTTTCATCAGAGACCCCAAGCTTTTCATCAGAGATCCTAAGCTATTTAAAGACATCCCAAGCTTTTTATCAGAGACCACATATTTTTATTGTAAATACCGAGCATTTCATCGAAGACCCCAGATTTTTTATTGGAAACCCCTCTTTTCATAGGATCGATAACCCAAAGACCTTCATTGGAGACCATAAGATTATCATAAAAAATCCCAAGATTATCGTCGGAGACATCCATATTTTTATTGAAAACCCCAAGCTTATCATCATAAAACCTCCAAATTTCGTTGGACAACCCAAGATTTTCTTTAAGGACCCCAAGCTTTTCATTGGAGACCCCATCACATTGTAAATCGTATGGGCTTAGATAAAAATCTCGGGTTTCCGATAATTATCTAAAAAGCATAGGGTATCCAATGAAAAGCTAATGGTCTCAAATGAAAAGCTCCAATGATTATTTCTTCCCAGTCTCATAACCTATGGGTCTCCGATGAAAAATTAGTTTGAGGGCTCTGACAGTACTTTATGATGATGATATTCTACTAATATACCTTTATTAATCTATCCTTCCCTTTAAACGAAGGCGACATTTAAAATTCATTTGCAATCAATTCAAAGAAAGTGGGTGAAATTAAAAAGAAACTTCTTAGTTTAAACTTTTTGTAAATGGTGTCATCAATACCGAAAAACATGTTTAAAATTGGTTTTCACGATCATGACTGATTGACATGATCATTCCTAAATATTACTTCTACTTGATGGTCCCCCCTGTTATAAGAGCATAATTAGCTCTTTTAATTAGATCTGAGCATTTGGTATAAGTGATAACCAGAAAACTCTAAAATAGAAAGACGACTTTACACCAATACTTTCGAGTAGTTGGTGTTATTACAAAGCAAAAGGTTTTACTAGACCCTTTTTAAATCACTAATAAAGTGAAATGGGGTTGTAAACTCTTCACAATTGCTGTGTCTCATGCTCATTAAACTAGTTAAACTCAAAGCTTGAATATAAAAGTTGTGTTCACTCAGTTTTCAGGTTATCACTGTATATCTATACATATTTTATCGTAAGCAAATTAAAACAATATTAAATTCGTCTTTTAAACCGAGTGTATTTCAAAGAAAAAAATCTCAAAGGCATGTTTGATGGGTAAAATAGGCTCTGCTCTGTCGTATTCTTCATTCCAAACTTAAGCGCGTAAAGAAGATTACTCATTTATTTTGAAATGACATTAATAGTTTGTTATTATTAAGGGTTAAGATTTTAAGAATCAAAAAAATTGTTTAGATTTCACGGAGAAGGTGTGATGACCATGTTCTCAAATCCTACTATACGTTCAAACATGAACATGAATAGCAACATAAACATGAACACTAGCATGAACATGAACATGGATATTGATACAAATGATCTGGAATCGGATTCTTATACATCCTTGGAGTACACAAATTTAGGTAAAAACCAGTTATTTTGGACCAACCAGCGAATCATCCCAAAAAATAACACCAATGATCTAAATGATACAGAGGGACCCAAAAACTGGTGAATAAGAAGACGACTGTTAGACCCAAGTTATGGTTCTAAACAGTCCAATGATCATGAAAAGCACAGTAATCGTGAAGTGCAGTGTATTTAGACACATTTTACTTGATAAATCGATTTCAAAGCTAATGCATGGGAAGAGAGTTCCAAAGTTCCAAACCGTGATTTGGCCTGATGAGATTTATTAAAATGAAAACGATAAAAATAAAACTATAGATTTTATTTTACACATTTTCAAACTTTCTGAATTATGATTTTTTAGAGGATGATCTTGGCTCCGAACAACCGTCTGACCCTACCTCCGACCCTACCTCCCCTGCCTCCGGCGGACCTGAACCTATCAGGGCTAGGGATTCCATTATACCCGTAGGTAACAACCAACTCTACTTTATTTATTTGAAAAAAAAACCATTTTACTTTCCGTAATTAACTTTATGTCTTTCTACAGTCTACATATTTTAGAACTAATCTATATAATAAAGCTATATATGTTAGCTATAGATGGCCAAACGGCTGAACCAAATTGGCTGAAAAGTTTTGAGGGAATTCATGGGTAAAGTTTTCGACATTTTATTTTTCAAAAATCTAAATTTTTTAAATCAAACATTTCTTTTTAAATTCGATTTTTTAAAATCCACGGGCAACGCCGGGCACTTGAGTTAGGAAACACTAAATCTCTGGATTGACAAATTTTTCAAAAACTTATTGCATAATCAGAAATGACAAAAATTATACGATTTCAATTTAAGGTAGTTCTAGTAAGAAAAGAAAGCAGTACAATCTGTTTCTATTCGTCTGAGGCTTTCCAAAAAGTTCTAGTATGTTCAAATCCAAAAAGTAAAAGTGGGTTTAAACTTGTTAAGTTTGATATAACAAAATAGGTATTCAAGCAGTATGCAGATTCAGAATCATTTTTTAAATTATGGCAAAACCAGCAGGCACAGGGGTTAAATTTGCGTATTGAAAAAAATTCAAAAATGAAACATCTGTTTGCTTTAATGAACACGAATGGTTCTCATTTTAAACGTATATATCTATATATTATATATTTTAAAGGATCACTGAGCAGAGACCTTTTATGTGGGATATCAGGAACAACTGAACTATCAGGAGTTAAGAACCTGACACTAAGGATCAGGTAATATATCAGGAACAACTGAACTATCAGGAGCTAAGAACCTGACACTAAGGATCAGGTAATATATCAGGAACAACTGAACTATCAGAAGCTAAGAACCTGACACTAAGGATCAGGTAATGAGCTAAGAACCTGACACTAAGGATCAGGTAATATATCAGGAACAACTGAACTATCAGGAGTTATGAATCTGACACTAAGGATCAGGTATATATCAGAAACTGAACTATCAGGAGCTAAGAACAGGTATAAATCAGGAACTGAACTATCAGGAGTTAAGAACCTGACACTAAGGATAAGGTAATATATCAGGAACTAACCTATCAGAAGTTATGAATCTGACATTAAGGATTAGGTAATATATCAGGAACTGAACTATCAAGAGTTATGAACCTGGCACTCAGGATCAGGTATTATATCAGGAACTGAATATCAGGAGCTAAGAACCTGACACTAAGGATCAGGTAATATATCAGGAACTGAACTTTCATGAGCTAGGAACTTGACACTAAGGATTAGGTAATATATCAGGAACTGAACTATCAGGAGTTAAGAACCTGACACTAAGGATCAGGTAATATATCAGAAACTGAACTATCAGGAGCTAAGAACCTGACACTAATGATCAGGTAATATATCAGGAACTGAACTATCAGGAGCATTTAACCTGACACTAAGGATCAGGTAATATATCAGGAACAACTGAACTATTAGGAGTTAAGAACCTGACACTAAGGATTAGGTAAACAAGACAAATATGTATATATATCGTATATATATATGTTGCCTATTGCCGGCCAAACGGCTGGACCGATTGGGCTGAAATTTTTTGTGGACACTCATGGGTGGATGGGGGGTGTTGTTTGCTAAAAAATCGATTTTTTTTCTCAAAATTTTTTTCTTCCACGGGCAACGCCGGGCCTTTCAGAAACTAATAGTTATGAAAGCTATTATTTACCAATAAATATTTGACGTTATTACCTTAGTGATAAATGATATAAATGATTTTATGATATATATATATATATATTTATTTATTTATATACAATATATGAAAAGAATTCTTCTGCATAATACCAACATCTTAAACATTTAAAAATGAATAAATAAAACTGTTTCTTGAAAGCAGAGGAAGTCTGCAAGTTTAACCACGAAACTAGAAGTATTTTTCCAACTTATTTTCAGTTTGTTTGTCTAGTATTTATAAAACAAGGTAGACTTATTTGAACATTAAGGGAATATATAAAGTTTTCTGTAAAATTCCTAAAAATAAATGATTCAAAATTCACCAAACGAGTCTTTGCCACAAACATAAGTTTTTGTATCCCTATATCCTTGCAACCTAATGATGGAAACGTATAATATTTCAAACTTTGAATAATTAATCTAACAGGGTTCATAGTTTGAAATATATGTCCACGACATTGAGTTCCAGAGATATAGGGAATTGAAAATCAGAGTTTGTGACAAAGACTCAATTCCTTTCTAGCTTTTATTCGTCAATAGTAGAAGTAAAAAAATGACTAGGCTACAATGAAGCTTAGCGTCTCTTTTCTAATAAAATATTTAGCTTTATGATGTATAGCTTTTTAGGCCAACACGTTTGCATCCCGTAATACTTTAAGTTTCGCAGAATTTTTCTTTAAATTGGAGGATTTCCAAAAAGAAATATGTTAATAGTCAATTTTTTCAATTTCGACCTGCCATAACTTTTTAGGGGGTCATTTAAGTTTACTTAAAAAAGTTGGGCCTATTCCATTCAGTCGTTTTGGCGTTTAGAGGATGAAAAAAACCTACGTATAGATATGTTTAGATGATCCGTAAATAAAATTTTTATCATAAATTTTTATTTCAATTTTGTCATTTGCAATGCCTTTACGTTTGAGAAAAATGAGAAACTTTTAATTAGATTCCCCGGCCCCCGGGGATTTAGATGTCTTGCTTCTAGATCAGACAGCTTATACTTTCGAACCCATTATCGCCTTTCGTAGATTTGCGGAATTTTTTATGTCCAAATATGTGTTTTAAATATCAACCCCAGATGAGGAGTAATATGTTAATTACTTCTTTTAACTTAAGGTAGAAACAAGAAGCCGTTCAAGTTTTAGAATGTATATGTCCACAAATAAAGTACTGTTGGGTTGGCAAAGTAAAACGAAAGCCCAAGCCTTTACGACGTTTTAAAAGTCGAAGCTGTCTAAAAATTTGATTAATAAATTTCAGGGTTGTCTAGATTTCAGATGAAGAGAGATCGAAGGTTACAGTCGGGTCTCTAATTAGCTTTGCTTGAGCCTATCCGGTAAACTGTTGAAGGAAAAGATTTCTGAGTTAAAACCACAGACTACACAGACTGCTCATACACTCTACCTGGATAGGCTGAGCAGGCCTGTAGTCTCCCGGCACGCCATGCTACGGTTCCATGTAATGTTTTTTGACTGACATCTGACGGCCCCTTGTTGAATTCAACTTTTACAACTTTTAAAGAAATACTCCAATTTTAAACATAAAACCTAACCTTTATGAATATTGTCTATTTTTAAAGATTTTGCATTTCCTATTCAAAGGATCCTTGAATATCCCTGAATACAGATGTTTGCTGATTGGTCGTGTACAGTACTTGTACACAAAAGTACATGCTGTGGAAAATATCGCATATTATAGGCGTTAATCGATCTCTGTAATTCTCTTATCTCTGGTTAAAACTATTCAAAAGTGTGGCATATTGCAGAAATATATTCCATATTTCATGTCATATTTGTATTTAATCACTCCACGTGAATGTTTAGATGTATTGGGAACAACGAGAGTTTTAGGATTCTTCCAAGATCTTTCCCTTTTCTCTCTTCATTGTACTTGGATAATTCTGTTTTCTACAGTCTGAGGTAAATATTTTCATTTCTTTTATTTCTTTCCTTAATATCATTGAAAAATTATAATTTCTACAGTTTATGGTACATTTTTTTTTTAATTATTGTTCTTGGATAATTCTTCATAAAGGAATCGAGTCTTTGCCACAAGCCTTGACTTTCTAATCCCTATCTGTGCAAACCAATGTCGGAGTCCTTAGAAATTTCGAAATGTGATAGATCAACTAATCTATAAAGTTTCAAATTTCAAAGGTTTACGCCATTAGGTATAGGGATTAGCAAATATGAGTTTGCGGCAAAGACTCGATTCCTTTAATATTCTTGTAATAACTACCTCATTTATTTGTCAAATAACGGCTCAACTATATATTATCATCATTTTATAAGTAAAATGATAACGGTAAAAAAATTTTGTAAAAAGTTTATACAAGTAGTCTTTTAGGATTATATTCCCTACTTTAGTTTAAAATATAATGGTTTCATTGTGTCAGTGATCCTTTCTGATGATTAAATTGTGTCAGCGGTCCTTTCCGTTGGTTTCATTGTGTCAGTGATCCTTTCTGATGATTATATTATGTCACCGGTCATTTCCGTTGGTTTCATTGTGTCAGCGATCCTTTCCGTTGGTTTAATTATGTCAGCGATCCTTTTCGTTTCTTTCTTTGTGTCAGCGATCCGTTTGTTTAATAGTGACAGCGATCATCTCTTGGTTTTATTTACTCCAACTTCCTTGGCTTCCGTTCTTTTCTTGGTTCATCCTTTCCAGCATTTCCTGGGACTTTAAACACATACTTTTATCATTGGAATATCGAAAATGTTTGTAAATCTTTTTAAATAGTCTTTTAACCGTATTATATTAATTATCTACCTGGCGAAGCTGTTCACAATGTCTAAACAGTTAAATATATGTAAGTAAAAAAATGGATGTAAGAAGTTTTCAATTGAAATTATTTGGATTGTTTCAAGTGAAAAAAGGTATATGGATTTTCGTAGAAGCCTAAATCAACGTTTATCCACTATATTCTTTATACTTTAGTGAAAAATTAGAATATCTTATTATCTAGATATCTTATTTGATAACGTTTATCCACTATATTCTTTATATTTTAGTGAAAAAATAGAATATCTTATTGTCTAGATATCTTATTTGATAACGTTTATCCACTATATTCTTTATACTTTAGTGAAAAAATAGAATATCTTATTATCTAGATATCTTATTTGATAACGTCAGTAAAATTATTATTTTATATGATTTAAAAACTAAAATTTTACCTTTCTATTTCTGTTGTTTTATTTTGGGCGTCTGTAGTTAATCTGAAAACATCATTCATATTTAGAAGAAGATTCAGAAAATCTGATATAATTGTTTAAACATTTTAAACAATAAAATCCAGACTAAGTCTTAACCCCAATTTTTTTAACAAAGTAGAACTGACCAATTTTAGTTACGGTTTACAATACATTTAGTTTATTAAAGTTTATTTATTTTATGGGATTTAAACTTTTGTTCTTTGAAAAATCTTCAGAAACCCCAAAATAAACCCTTGGTAAAAGCAACTTTTCAAATTGTCTTTTTTAAACTTATTTTAAAAACTCCTTGATTTTTTTTGTAAGACTATACTCACTTCAATTCATCTTTTAGTTGTCTGTACAACACCTGAATAAAAACTTGAATAAATTGCTGCTTCAGAGTAACCGGAATGATTTATCAATTTATTGAAGACTTATAAATAATCTTTGACATTAGAAATAGTTTGCGGCGTTCATTTGGCAACCTATTTTTAGCGAGATCTCTTATGAGCAAAAATCACAAAATAGCCCTAGTCCTAGCATGTCTAAAAAGTGGTCTGCCTTTTAGGTGCTTTTTATCTGAGCTATGAATGATTTTAATCAGATTTAGACAATTTTATGGTTTTATTTAATAAATTGAAATATGAAATAAAATCCTTGATATATCTGGTATATCTAAAAGCATAAAAAAGGCAAAGATATTTGATGAGAGGGAGGAGAGGGAGGAGAGGGAGGAAAGGGAGCAGGGGGGGGCGGTAGGGAGTGAGTACTTGGGAGCAGGAAGGAAAATTAGATTAAGTTTATTTGATTTAATTTTACCTTCATTTCAATTGCTTCTGTACTTGATATTTTACCTAAATAATATATATGTATGATGATTTTTTATTTTAAAATAATACTTTATCCTGAGCTGAAAACTTTAGAATGAGATATCCTAAATCCCGGTTACTTAATCTGAGTATCCAATGGACACACTTTTGATTTTCTTATTAAACCGTTCTTTCTTTTTACAGTAGAGAAAAATCAAAAACCGGTTCTTCTAAATTAGAGAGTTCCTCCCATTTCTGTATATGATCTTAAATCGCACGCAAAATTTCAAAGGAGTTGAGTTTTTGCCACAATCTCTGATTTTCTAATCTCTATATCTTTGTGACCCAATGTCGTAGACCTTAGACATTTCAAACTATTAATACGTATAGATAAAATAATCTAAGTTTGAAAAATCAAAGATTTGCACCATCAGATTCCAAAGATATTGGAATCAGAAGATTTTAATTTGTGGCAAAAACTCAATTCCTTTATCGGCTTCATATACGCGACTCTGATTGGTTGAATTTTATACACTTTTCAGGATAAAAGTTCAAGATTAGGTTAGTCTCGATATTTTGAAAAAGAGAGGATGACGCATAAATCTCTATATCCACCATTTCTAAAGTTGTCAGCTCTGAGTGTCCAGAAATGTGTTCCGTTAATATTTGAAATGTCTGCTTGTTCCTTGGTTTGTATTTTCTGTCCATTAAAAGAGTACACGACTAAACCCGTAAAAATTAAAAGTGTCACTCTCCAAAAAGTTTAAATTTTTCTATTTTTGAGAAGTCTAAAAAATGCGGGAAAATATTTCTTTATTTTAAAACGTACAAAAAAACAAAGGTTTTCAGACAAATCATAAAAAAAATTAAAGAGTATTGCCAGAAAGAGGGGCCATTAAATCCTTATGAAGAATATTTTACCTTGAATGATCCAGGAATCAATCCTATCGTTTAATTGAGAATCCGTCATATTGACAAGTTCCTGCAAAATTATCTGTTCAGTGTTCATCTCAATATATTAAAGGGAGTGGTCAGACATTTCTTTTTGGTTCTTGTACTTCTTTCCATTTACAAAATATCTATTGCTCAAAAATAAAACTTTAAACTTTGGATAAAAAATATAAAAGCAAAGAGATAAGATGTAAAAAATATAAAAGCAAAGAGATAAGATATAAAAAACGTAAAAGCAAAGAGATAAGATATAAAAAATGTAAAAGCAAAGAGATAAGAAATAAAAAATATAAAAGCAAAGAGATAAGATATAAAAGATATAAAAGCAAAGAGATAAGATATAAAAAAATAATAAAAGCAAAGAGATAAGATATAAAAATATAAAAGCAAAGAGATAATATATAAAAAATATAAAAGCAAAGAGATAAGATATAAAAAATGAAAAAGCAAAGAGATAAGACATAAAAAATGTAAAAGGAAAGAGATAAGATATAAACAACTAAGCTTGCCTGATTTGAAATATCGCTCATCGCTCAACCTTTTCCACAAAAGATCTAAATTGGAAAAAAATACAATTTTTTTTGTTGGGGGGGGGGGGCTGATATTAGAGAACGAATAACTGAGGGACATAAAGCCATCGTAAAGGTAAAATTCTAATGAGAGGCACAAGTATTACTTTTATAGTCAATTTTTTTATGTGCCAATGAAAAACTAGTTTCCTTTTGATTAGATTTACAAGTATATTTATAGTAGAATCTTAATTAAAAATTAAATTTTGTAAAAAAAAATGTTTAAATTGGTTTATTATCGGTCTCAAATTGTTAACTGTCAAAGCATGTTAACATTGATTTTATCTATCTACAGTGATATCCATAAAACTATGGAAACGGAAGACGACATTAAATTAATCTTATGTTTAATTGATGTTCTTATAAAGCAAACAGTTCTGCCAGTAGGTTGAAAATCAAATAAATTAGTTCTGACTTTGTGAAAACATTTGCTGTGGTTCGTGTTTATTGGACTAGCGTCAAACATTATAGTTTCGGTCTGATAGTCGTCTTCAATTTATTAAATCGACCACGGCAAAAATATGTCGATTAGTTTTTAAAGCAGCATTACTTAATACTTATAGATAATTTAACAGGGAAGGAAAAAAAATATTTTTAAGTTTTTAGTTTTACATTATCTTAACTACGTTCAATATGGACAATTTTTAATGTCTATTGTTGATTAACTAACTTAAAAAATTCATATTTTATTATTGAGAACGTGGAATGAATTGAGTACAGCTGATCATATATTCTCTACGCCGCGTCCAGTTTTCCAGGAATCCTACGGAACGTCTTCCGCCACAATATTAAAATATTCGTACTAACCTATATAGACTAAGTCTGTGCAAAGTGTGCCGAATGAGTGCAAAATTATTTACAATCCTTAATTGTGCATATGCAAATTTTATTCCTTGGGTAAATATGCCTCACTTTGTGCAAATTCATGTGTTTTGAATCAACCCATCATCTTCATCATTTGTTTTTATCATTTTAGGATTTTTTTATAAATTAAGATTCAAATTTCAAAGATGTAACCTGATACACAGACTAGACGGGTTTAATTGATTTAATATGTATTTGTTACATTTCGGGATCCAAATAATTTTATTAACAGATAAATAGATACATAGATAGATAGAAAGATAGATAGATAGATATTATACATTTGAAAAAAAATACAAAAATTAGATCAGAAAATTAGGGTTTCGATTTTCCACAATAGTAGTCATATTTATAGAATATCCAGACTCAAAGCCAAACATTTTTCGTCTTACGAGTTTCCTTTTTGGGGTCTTTTACATAGGAGTATGTCTTAATCATAGAAATAACAAGTAAACCCATATGAAATCATATTTCTAAGCAAAAATATTGCCTTACAACTTTTATGAAAACTATTCCAAAAATGGGTTTTATAACTCTGTCCTGTGATTTGGGCTCCCCAAATTTTCCATTCTTATATCTTAACAAACTTAGATTTTTTAATCATCAGAATTCATAGTTTGAATTCTAAGGTCTACGACATTGGGTTGCAAATATTTAGATTCTTGAAAAAAACTAAATTCCTTTCTAATACTTTTCCTTTTTCAGGGTAGTAGGGGAGGAAATATCCACACTCAAAATTCTCTCAGGTTTGGATTTTATTCCTAGTATTTTATTTATGATATGATTATTGTTATTAATACGTATAATTTTTATCCTAATTATTGTCATTATCATTATTTAAATTTTCAATATGATCAATTTCATAATGTAGCAAACCCCCTCCCAGCTGTCACCATGTTGAATATCCGAAAGGTTAACCCAACAAAGGGTTAACCTTTCGGATAGGGTAGTTTTTCAAATCACACAACAATAAAAGAACAAAATAGTTGAACATTTCTGTTAAAAGTATAATAGGAAATATGTTACAAAGTTACGGTAAACAATGAATTAAATTAGCGGGGTAGATATACTGCTAGGTTTCCTGACATCTTCTTGCATCCTGGGCTTGAAAGACGTCTAGACCCACAGGATCGGGTTTCCTCTGAAGTGTGTGCAGATCTTTGTTTATCCCATACTAGGAGCTCACCTGGTTCTGCAGTTTCTTTTCCAGAGATTGACTGCCTCTCAGATCGTCCGTCATAACATCATGGGGAGTTGGATTTGGAATTTCTCCATCCTCTTTTGAAAGGGCCAGTCCCCAACTTATTTGTATTCTATAGCCAAAATCTACGCACTGGAGATTTCAACTCCCGCCCTTCTCTGTTATCCTAGCTAGCTAGTTCAGTGTTTAATGAGCTGCAAAGAGCTGTGCGGATAGTGCGAGGTAGGCGGGGCAGGCAGTGAGGTTGGGGAAGAGTTAGAGATCTACTGGCCATTAGATTAAGGGGTAAGGTTAGGGGAGGGGTTCAATTTCAAATACAATATTATCATTTACAATATGATTAATATTATACTATCATTTTTAATGTGATTTATGTCATATTACCATTACTATTAATATCCTTATCATCATTATTATAACTATCATATTGTTTCGCTACTTAGCGAATTCCCTAAAGACCTAATGAAACTTATAAGTACCGAGTGGTATTTCTCTGGATAGGATTGTAAGACTTCCTTCTCTCAACGCTCTCCATAACAAAAGGATGATAATAAGGTTCCGAACGTTTATTTCTCTGAGTCTTCAATCTAAATAATCTTTTATAAGCCTACAGAAAAAGCATTGAGTGACAAATCATACAAATACAGCAATAAATCCACTCAGGCATTAAAAAACTGTGGCAAGGAACCCATACATTACATTATACGATATCAACCATAACCAAACATAAATAATCAAGATTCATATAAATATAAGCATAATTACCGCAGTGGTCCTAGAATCTCACACGGTTTTAATAATCGACGATCTTTACATGAAATACAAATATATACTAAGGTAGAATCTGCTCGCTTCCACGCAGAAAACTTGCGCATGCGTAGTCGGACTGTAAACAGCTTCTAAAACTAGTTCTTTACAATACGTTCTGTACAGATCCTCAGGGAGAACTCAGAGATTCGCAGGGGTATCACATAGACTTTATGAACGCAGCATGGCTCGCGTAACACATATTTGCATTGTTTTATTTTTTATTATTATAATTATCACTATCATCATTGTTATCATTATGATTTTTATAAAGTATCAGTTACAAAATAATATGTATTTTCAGTATGTGGGTGCAGTCTAATATCTTTACATGGAATTGACCTTCTCCCTAATATTAGGTGAAAACATAATAAAATTTTCTTGTATCGGACAACACATGAGTTTCGTGCAAATAATTATTGGCACGAAAAAAAAACATTTTCGTCAATGCACGGATTTTGTATCACCATGGCAACCATTTCATTGAATAGTTCTTTGATTTAGCTGTAAAAATGTTATCTTAAAAGAAGCAGGCAATCAAATCTTGCGCAAGACCAGATCTAACAGATCTAACAGATCTAACAGATCTAACAAGATAACAAGAGGTTAATTTTTTGCTTCCTTAGACTTGGACAAGGGGAAACATGTTTTTGTACTAAACATTCTAAGAATAAAGGAGTTGAGTTTTTGTCACAAACTCTGATTTTCTAATCTCTATATCTTTGTAACCCAATGTCGTAGACCTTAGATATTTCAAACTATTAATACGTATAGATAAAATAATCTAAGTTTGAAATATCAAAGGTTTGCACTATAAGGTTGAAAAGATATTGGAATCAGAAGATTTTAGTTTGTGGCAAAAACTCAATTCCTTTGTTCAAACATCCAAAAAGGCAGAGATATATATTTAAATAAGATCAGAGTTTCTAGTGAAAAGGGTAAATTGTTTGACGATAATTTCGCATTCTTTCTTATTTTTCCTCTTTTTTTGCATTTCGTTCGTTCGCGAAAAAACGCAAAATATTACGGGGTAAAATGTGAAAGTATTGCGAAAAAATGCGAAAAAGAAATTATTAATTATGATCAAATCAAATCAAATCAAGTTTAAATCTGAAAGGGAACCCAATGTGGAACCCCAATGAGCTCTTAGAAGAGAAAATTCAAAAAGTTTTTTCACAATCTATTAATGCAACTATGGTTTTCGCGAAATTTCGCATAGTTTTTCATTTTTTCGCTCCATTCATTTTCCCGAAAAAATGCGAAATTTCGCGAAAAACGAATGAAACGTTATGCATTTATTGATGAGTAAAAATGTGTTAAGAGAACTGTATGCTTCCTACAACCAAATAGAAGATGTTCTAGAACTTACTGACCTTACAAAAATTTCAATCATAGATCTAGAAAGGTAATTTTAATTGAGTTCGAATTTAATAAATAAAATAATAGGTTTCAATTGAGCGCTGGCTTAAATCTGGAAACATTAATTATAATTTTAAGTGGAACCAACCATATTTGAGCCGCGTCTCAAATTTATGCTGCGGCTCAAATTCTTTAAATTCGGCCTCAGCAAAAAGTATTCTTTTCATATCATTCATGGGTTTTATCCAAATGTTAATCTATGTTTAACATTGTTTTTTTTACTATAATAGAAAGATAAAGCTTATATTTACAGTAATAAATGATAACTTTTTTGTTTAAAAATGCTCTAACTTTATTTTTGTTTCATATTTCATTCTGAAAGTCGTTCAATCTCTACTGGAATTTGAAACCAATGATTGCACAACGAATTTGATATTACAATTTCATGTTAGAGGGATTATTTAGCTAAGAGAGAGAATGCTTGAAACGTTTTTATCATTTTGCTGAAATATCTGAACATTCCCTTTAATTTTGTTTATTTGTTTAGTAACCAGATTTCAAGTTTTGACAGTGTTAGCTTCCTTTACCTCTGTTCCACACTCAATACACTCACACTTAGGGGCAATCCAATATCAGCTGTTAGTGATTACAGGTAGTTTCAATATCAGCTGTTAGTGATTACAGGTAGTTTCAATATCAGCTGTTAGTGTTTACAGGTAGATTCAATAGTGATTACAGGTAGTTTCAATATCAGCTGTTAGTGTTTACAGGTAGATTCAATATCAGCTGTTAGTGATTACAGGTAGTTTCAATATCAGCTGTAAGTGATTACAGGTAGATTCAATATCAGCTGTAAGTGATTAGAGGTATTTTCAATATCAGCTGTAAGTGATTACAGGTAGTTTCAAGATCAGCTGTAAGTGATTACAGGTAGTTTTAATATCAGCTGTAAGTGATTACAGGTAGTTTCAATATCAGCTGTAAGTGATTACAGGTAGTTTCAATATCAACTGTTAGTGATTACAGGTAGATTCAATATCAGCTGTATTTGCAAATCCTCCCTAGGAAATGCCTAGCTATATGTGTCGGGTTGCTTCCAATCTTTAAAACTCTCTTCAAGTGATGCAAACATTCCTTCCAATAATGTACAATACATGACACATTTCTTTACAGAGAACGAATGAGAAGATATATCCCGCGGCTGAAAAAGCTTGATCCAACTCCGAGAAAATTCAGGTAAATTATTTAAAGTTTGAACAAGTTAGGACAGGTCTGAAGACGTGTTTGAATATTCTAGAGTGCTTGAGGATGATTGCAAGGATGTAAAGGATGACCGAGCTTCTCCTGATAATGATTTGGGAAATTTTCAGATCAAAATCACCGAAGGTTTATACATTACAGTGGGACCCATAAGAATTTAAAGTAGGAAGACGACATTTAAACAATCTTTTGATAAATAAATGTTATAGTTTTACCAATAGCATGAAGAACAAATCAAAAATTAGGCTAAATATAGAAACTTGAGTCCAACACTCGTCTTCCTATTTCATCATTTTATTTGTCCCACTGTATAAAAAAGTTCTAAAACCACCAATAAAACACGATAAAATAATTTAGTTTAAGTTAAAATTAATAAAAAATAAGTTTTTTTAATTGATTGATTAATGTTAAATTCTACTCCAGGAGATATGGTAGATATAGATATGGAAGCTAATGACTCTACAACAAACAAAATACAGGTAAAAACATAACAAAAATATACATAAAATACAATAATTATAAAGAAAATGCAGGTAAAATATAGCAAAAATATACATAAAATACAATAATTATAAAGAAAATACAGGTAAAATATAGCAAAAATATACACAAAATACAATAATTATAAAGAAAATACATGTAAAATATAGCAAAAATATACATAAAATAAAATAATTATAAAGAAAATACAGGTAAAAACATAACAAAAATATACATAAAATACAATAATTATAAAGAAAATAGAGGTAAAAACATAACAAAAATATACATAAATACAATAATTATAAAGAAAATACAGGTAAAAAAAATACAAAAATATACATAAAATACAATAATTTAAACAAAATGCAGGTAAAAACATAACAAAAATATACATAAAATACAATAATTATAAAGAAAATACAGGTAAAATATAGCAAAAATATACACAAAATACAATAATTATAAAGAAAATACCGGTAAAATATAGCAAAAATATACATAAAATACAATAATTATAAAGAAAATACAGGTAAAAACATAACAAACATATACATAAAATACAATAATTATAAAGAAAATACAGGTAAAATATAGCAAAAATATAAATAAAATATAATAATTATAAAGAAAATACAGGTAAAAACATAACAAACATATACATAAAGTACAATAATTATAAAGAAAATACAGGTAAAAACATAACAAAAATATACATAAAATACAAGAATTATAGAAAAATATAGGTAAAATATAGCAAAATACCGTAATTATGAAGAAAAAAAAATTAAAATTAAAGAAAATAAAAGAAATAAAAATTAAAAAATTAAAAAAATCTAAAAATGCAAGAAATCGAAGTAACTAAAGTCTAATTGCCTGTAGAAACCCTAACCGTAATGTTTAAATGAACCTCCATTTACAATTCACCAGGGTACCGACCTTCAAACCTCTATCTAAGGAACTCCTTGATCAGACAAAAGTTTAAAGGGTGCAATTGAATTGGACATGTTAGTCTAGACTCTAGAGTGCCACTTGAAATTACGTTGACAGTCCCTTTAATATTCAGATTGCTAGTGAGGCAGCAGTAAATTACGTTGACAGTCCCTTTAATATTCAGATTGCTAGTGAGGCAGCAGTAAATTACGCTGACAGTCCCTTTAATATTCAGATTGCTAGTGAGGCAGCAGTAAATTACGCTGACAGTCCCTTTAATATTCAGATTGCTAGTGAGGCAGCAGTAAAGAGGTTTGTAGATGATGATATAGAAGAAGGGGCTCATGAGAGTATTTTTATTGAGATCGAACAGAATAACTTCATACAAAGGTAATGCCACCCCCTTCCTCCCCCCCCCCCCCCCCCCCCCCCCCCCCCGCGGAACTAAATTCAATTTTCAATTGTAAAGTCACATAATATTGTAATAGGGATTGTGGATGAAGTTTAAAATGTACTACAGAAAAGATCATGATGTAAATAGAAATCTTCTTCTAAGTGTGTTTGAGATACAACACTTTCTGAAAGTCTGTTTCTCTGAAAAAATCTTAAATCTAGGATTATTTTTCAAAAATTGAAAATCGGATTGTAAACAATTAATGAACAATTGCTTTAATTGCAGGATTACAATTAAAGGATTAGAATTTATACTGTCTGTTTCCCTATACTCCCTGCAACTGTAAACTTCTTTGCCAAATCATAAAAGGGAGAGTTCGCGCGAAAAATAAAAGGGGGTATAGGCTTACGGCGAAAAATATGATCGCTACTAATCATACAAATTCAGAAAGTTGCAACAATCAACTCGGATCGTAAAAAAATCAATTTAATTCCAAACAAATCATTAAGATAGTACAACCAATAATCGTCGATATTTTTTTGACGCCTTCGTTTACAGCTGATATTTCTGAATATTTTTTTTTTCATGATCTGATAGTTACTTTTGAAATCATTTATTCCTGTTTCAAGGATTTTTGATAATAAAGACAACATTTTAATATTTTCCAGGAATGTTCGAAAATATCAACTATATACGAATGCGTCGAAAAATAATCGCTGACAATTGTTTGTAATATCTGAATGATTTGTTTGAAATTGATTGATTATTTTACGACCCAAGTCGAATTTTGCAACTTTCTGAATTTGCATGGACGCTACGTTCTTCAGTATGAGTGTTATTTAACCATTTTCTCCTTATAGACGCTACAGATAGAAGTAATTAGTAGCGATCAAAAGCACTTATTTTTGTAAGCTTATACCCCCTTTCATTTCTCACAAACAATCCCTTTAACAGCCTTACTAAGGAAAAAAGTACAAAACAATCGGTAAAATCTTTTTTTTCTTTTTTGTTTTTAAAAGACTATTGGTTTTTATTTTTCTGAATAATACAATTTGGTTATTTCACCAAAACATTGTCCATCTCTAGTACTGGTTCCCTTCTAAAACCTCTATTACTGGTTCCTTCCTAAAATTTCTAGTTCTGGTTCCGTCCTAAAATCTCTAGTACTGGTTTCATACTAAAATCTCTAGTACTGGTTCCCTCCTAAAATCTCTAGTACTGGTTCTCTCTTAAAATCTCTAGTACTGGTTCCGTCCTAAAATCTCTAGTACTGGTTCCGTCCTAAAATTTTTAGTACTGGTTCCTTCCTAAAATCTCTAGTACTGGTTCCGTCCTAAAATCTCTAGTACTGGTTCCGTCCTAAAATTTTATTACTGGTTCCGTCCAAAAATCTCTAGTACTGGTTCCTTCCTAAAATCTCTAGTTCTGGTATCGTCCTAAAATCTCTAGTACTGGTTCCGTCCTAAAATCTCTAGTACTGGTTCCTTCCTAAAATAATAGTTCTGGTTCCGTCCTAAAATCTCTAGTATTGGTTCCCTCTTAAAATCTCTAGTACTGGTTCCTTCCTAAAATCTCTAGTACTGGTTTGCATCTTAATGTTGTAGACCTTAGATATTTCAAACTATAAATTCTGTTAGATCAAATAGTTTCAATTTGAAATATTAAAGGTTTACACCTTCACGTTGCAAAGATATAGGGATTAGACCATTTGAGTCAATTCCTTTAGACTGCTAAGTTCTTCATTACATTTTTAAAACTGTTTTATTTGATGTTCTCCACCCAAAAACTCGGATTGGAACTGTGTCAAATTTGGGACCAATGACGTCATACACAATTCTTAAAAATATCATATTGCCACTTATTGCATATATTGACTTACTTACATGTATTGTATAGTACAATACAATGTGCACGTACCACAAATGAGCAAAACAATGTATGTTCTTGTAACAAACAAATTAAAATCTAATCAGTGGTTGAAGTCTGCAAACTTTTTACTTGATGATTGATTAATGTAGGCTTTCTTTATATTCCAAGGGTATACTTAATACTTAGCTATACTCATTTAAAGGGAATATTAAGTTATTTGCGAAGGATAATGTTCATTAAAATGTAAAGTGTGTTTATAGAATTTAACAAATTGTGTAGCTTGTTCAATCTAATTTTGCAATCAAACTTTCTTTCAATTTTAGCAAATTACTCACGTTAAACGTGATTTTACAAAAAATGAAATTAAAGTCCTAGTATAGTACAGAATTTCCCAATAAACATGGGAATTCAGTGACGAATTCGATATCGTCTTTGTTATGAATTAGCATTGTAATACCTAATTTTAAAGGCCATAATATTATTATGTCTGCTAGAGTTTATTTTATGATGTGTCTTTAATGTCTCTGCAAGATAAATAGTGACGACGGACAAGTTTACTGCGTTTGTATACTGTAATTTTCTTGTTTTACTAAGCACACCCTTATGCAGTCAAAACATAAACAAACAAATATGAACATAGCAGACGAAATTCTTACGGATTACAGCTTTCTCAGAAGGTATCCCTATACTAAATCAAAGAATTATTTAAAAAGACGATATCGAATTCGTCACTGAATTCCCATGTTTATTGGGACGCCCTGTAATTGCAAAATAATTTTTTACTGTTTCACAGTAATTGAAAACTAGAAATTCGAAAGTTAAACTTGTGATAAATCTTTTTACAAAATAAAAAATTATATTTTTTGTATAATTTACTTTACTAATTTTGGTTAGTTTGAGTACCCCTGTCTAGTGATGTGCCTGAGATGGTTCGGTTTGAGTACCCCTGTCTAGTAATGTGCCTGAGATGTTTCGGTTTGGCTTGTTTTTTCCCTATATTATCTTTCAAGGTCATAATTTGGTAATGTAAGAAGAGCAAATATTTTCCAAAAAATTGTATCATAAACTTTTCTTTTCATTACACTATGAGTTATGACGACTTTTGACCAATACAAAATGTGAAAAAAAAACTAACCACACAGGAAACCCAGGAATTATAGTTCCGATGGCGAAGATGTTGGGTAAATAATTCTGAACTTTTAATGTCCGACATCGGCATGCCTAAGACTTTAAATGTTTGCAAAGCAAAAACGATCCAAAAATGACGAAAAAACGAGCGTGTTGCAACGCTCGTTTTTCCGTATAATTTTGACACAGTTTTATGTCAATTTCTCGATACAGGAACATCAGATAGATGTCTTATATGTATCGTTCAACTCCTGAGATTCTCAGGTTTCAGCCTATACCCCCTTTCATTTTTCCTTTACAGTCCCTTTAAACATAAAGGATCAAAGAATCCAAAACCATTATACTATCTGAATATTATATAACTGTGAGTACCCCTGTATAAACCATCTGAATATTTAGAGCAGAAACAGATCAATCCTCAGGACAGTTTTCAAACTCATTCCAGAACTCAGGTCAATTGTGTAAATTTGTTAAAGAATGAATAATTTTAAAGGAACTGAGGCCAAATTTGAAGAATTTGAGACGCAGATCAAATATGCTTGGTTCCAATTAAACCTGCAATCAATGATTTAAGATTTAAGCCGGCGCTTAATTGAAACCGGTTTTTGGCGGATTTGAGACGCGGCTTAAATTCATTAAATTCGGACTCTGTAAACATAATTTTGAGTGATCCTCCAGTAGAAGAGAATCATGATATTTCACTCTCGGCTAAAATCCACTCTTTCTTCAGTCAGTGTACAAATACAGATCACTGCATTTTACAACGAAAGCTTAGTTTAGAGTGCATTGATTACCATAGTACTCTTATACTATATGGTCTCTTTTCTATGAAAGGATTATCTAAAAATTACTTTTATAGATCAGATTGTAATTAAAAATGTAAAAGTATTTCTAAATAAATATTTTTAAGTAGAATCTTTGGATGAAGCCTTGAAAGAGCACGGTTTCAGCTCTATAAGTGCAACAGAAGGAGATGAATATCAGACAGAAGATCAGACAGAAGATCAGACAGAAGATCAGACAGAATATCAGACAGAAAATCAGACAGAAGATCAGACAGAAGATCAGACTGAAGAGAAAAAAGAGGAAACATTCAATAAGAAAAAGTTCTGCTGTGAAAAACACTATAAGCTATTTGAGCAGGCCTCCAGAAGTATAAGGTACTATTATAAGAGCGCTTCGCGACCATTTATCAAGCGAGTGGAAACTAGTTTGCGGCAATCTTTTGAAATTTCGACCAGCCATAAACCTTCTCAATGGTTGCCCGATCAGTTTTGCCGTTTGGACATTAATTGGATACAAACAAACAGACAGACACGACAAATATATATATATAGGTAGATTAAAGGGTCTGCAGACTCTAACTTCAAGTGACCCGCCATTTATAGAGTGGCATGTTCGATCTACAACGGTACCCTTAAATACTTTATCTGATCAAGCATAAATTACATATCCATGTTCATAATTTTAAAAACTGGTGATTTTCAATTGTGGTTTCTCTACTGAAGTAACTTACGAAATCTTCTGCAGGAAAACAATTTAGAAATTATCAGAACCATACACGTTTTTCAAGCTGCTAAAACCACTTTATCTCCCACATTGTTGATCAGATAGAGGGTTCAAGGGTACCATTGTTAATTGGGCAAGCCCCTCTTTAAATGAAGGGCCACTTGAAATTATGAAGACAGAGTTCCTTAAACTGTTGTTTTCTCTTTCTTTTCTACTGATTTCATGAGATCTTTTTCTCTTTCTTTTCTACTGATTTCATGAGATCTTTTTCTCTTTCTTTTCTACTGATTTCATGAAATCTTTTTCTCTTTCTTTTCTGCTGATTTCATGAGATCTTTTTTAGATTCTGTGCTCTTGAGACGACCATATTAACTTGTGAGAAGGAGAAAGCAAATCAGATAAAACTTGAGAAAATAGAAACTGAAGAAAGAGATAGAAAACTCTGGGCTAAAGAGGTAATTATAATTAAAATAAATTCACGTTCATTGGAAATATAAATGTTGCTTTTAGAAAAATCAGGATGAAAGAAAAGATATAAAAGCAGATCTTGAAGAAGTTCTTGAGAAACCTAAACCAGAAAAAGTAGAAGCTAAACATTGGAAACCAGGGAAGCTTCTAGAAAGAAGGAATACACTGGAACCTGCAAAACTAAAGGTGATTTTATCATTCATGTTGAATCAGGTCATGATGAGATATATGCCTGGGCCGGGGATGAGATCAATATTCAATAATGATAATATTAAGAAGCTACTGATCAATACTGATATTATAAAGGAGAAACTGATCAATACTGATATTATAAAGGAGAAACTGGGCAATACTGTTATTATAAAGAAGAAACTGATCAATAATCAATCAATGATCTGATAATATTAAGGAGTTACTGATCAGTACTGATTATATTAAGGAGTTACTGATCAATACTGATTATATCATGGAGTTACTGATCAATACTGATTATATTAAGGAGTTACTGATTAATACTGATAATATTATGGAGTTACAGATCAGTACTGATACATAATATTAAGGAGTTACTGAGCAATTCTGATAATATTATATTTAGAAGCTACTGAGCAATTCTGATTATATTAAGGAGCTGCTGATCAATACTGATAATATCAAGGAACTATTGATCAAAACTGATAATATTAAGGAGTTATTGTTCAATACTGATAATATTGAGGAGCTATTGATCAATAATGATAAGTTTAAGGAGCCAATGTTTAATGCTGATGATATTTAGGAGTTACTGATCCAAGGGGATGAATCTGAAATAGAAGAAATTACTGCTCAGTGTACCCTACCTGAGTTTCGGCCTACCAGGAACACAGAGCTCAAGACAGCTTTCACCAAGGACAGTATTCCAGTAGATACAGATGGGGAGGAGGAAGAGATATTTACCTCATTCAGTACAGAGACATACTCGGATATAAGGTTGGAGCTCTATTTACACTTTTTCTTTACTTTTAGAACGATAGTTTATTTTGGTTTAGATCTCGACCTAGCTCCTCTGGAAGTCTGTTTAAGCATGGGAAAGGAAGACCTTCTTCAGGTTTAGTGAGACCTTCATCTTCCTCATCCTCGGGGCGTCCTTCTTCCTCAAGCAGTCAGGTTCAATCTCCATCTATCTTTGATAAAACCAACTTTTGTATTTTTTCTTAAATGTTGGCTTTAGTCAAAGTCTACTTTGTCGCTTTCCATTCGTAATCGTAGATATATATTTTAAATTTTTAGGCTTCATACAGCCAACAGTCTTCAGTATCAGACGCTGATTCAGGAGTAGAAATATATTCTCCAGGTATATTTCTAACCTATAAATAGAAATATATTCTCCAGGTATATTTCCAACCTATAAATAGGAGACATTGTTAACACCAGTTCCCAAATACATAAGGTGTGATGTTAAAGAGGTGTAAAGGGGTAGAATTGCGCAATTTCCCGCAATATCAAATTCTGAAAGCATTGATAGACTCCAACTGAACGTATAAATCTAGTTGAATAAGTGTTTAAATATAGCAATATAATAATATTTTGCCTCAAATATCATTTTCCTTTTAAAGAATTTCAATCATGGCTATTTGAACTTCTATCCCTTGCACACATGTCAAAAGTAACAAAATCTTTTCAAATCTTTTGAAAGGAACTGAGTTTTTGCCACAGACTTTAATTTTCTAATCCCTATATCTTTGCACCCCAACGTAATAGACCTTTGATATTTTTAAAAGATGAATTCTAGATCACATAATCAAACTTTGGAATATCAAGGGTTTACATGACAAGGTCGCAAAGATAAAGGGATTAGTAAAATCTTAGTTTGTGGTAAAAACTCAGTTCTTTGATTTTTAAGACCAAATTATTTCACACCCAGACGCTTTTTAACGTGACACTGGACTAAAATATAGACAAATATTATTTATTTTCCAGGATTAAGAAAGTCATCTATTAATCTACCGAACATTAGGAAAACTCAAAGAACAGAGGTGAAACAATTCTTCTTTTCTCTTAAATATTAAAAAAAAATATTTATCATTATTTTTTAAATATTTAATATTTTAGGATAAAACTCAGGGAGAAGTACAACTAGAGGAACTCATTTAGATAATGTTATAATCTTATTACTATAGTTGAAGACAGATAATGTTTTAATCTTATTGCTAGTTGAATACAGATAATGTTTTAATCTTATTACTAGTTGAATACAGATAATGTTTTAATCTTATTGCTAGTTGAATACAGATAATGTTTTAATCTTATTACTAGTTGAATACAGATATTGTTTTAATCTTATTAGTATAGTTGAAGACAGATAATGTTTTAACCTTATTACTAGTTAAATACAGATAATGTTTTAATCTTATTACTAGTTAAATACAGATAATGTTTTTATCTTATTACTATATTTGAAGACAGATAATGTTTTAATCTTATTACTAGTTGAATACAGATAGTGTTTTAATCTTATTACTATAGTTGAAGACAGATAATGTTTTAACCTTATTACTAAAGTTGAAGAAAGATAATGTTTTAATCTTATTGCTAGTTGAAAACAGATAATTTTTTAATCTTATTACTAGTTGAAGACAGATAATGTTTTAATCTTATTGCTATAATTGAATACAGATAATGTTTTTATCTTATTACTATATTTGAAGACAGATAATGTTTTAATCTTATTACTAGTTGAATACAGATAGTGTTTTAATCTTATTACTATAGTTGAAGACAGATAATGTTTTAATCTTATTGCTAGTTGAATACAGATAATGTTTTAATCTTATTACTAGTTGAATACAGATAATGTTTTAATCTTATTACTAGTGAATGATTAAGTTTATTTGAGTCATCATTAAATATAAAGGAATTTTTTCAGCTTTTTTGTCAGCAATATCATTCCTAAAAAGGTAGCATATGTTAAATAAATAAATAATGATTTATTTTGATAAATCAAAAAGTGATTATCATTCACAAATAATTATAAAACACATAAACTATCGGTTCAGCAGTCTCTGAATATGTGGAATAGCAGATTTTCTATATTTTTTTGTCCTGGCATGAATGACATGATTACTGTTCCTGGCGGCGTAGTTGGTGTTCATGTGGGTGAACTGCAGCAGGGAAGAGATGACGATGTTTGAAAAGAGAGGGATAGCTTGCCCCTTCTTGACTCCAGGGTCTCCAGTTTACCCCTGGGATATGCTTGCAAAGTGGGTGGCAACCCTGTCCGCTGTTCAAATACAGGTAAACCTTCTAGTCTCTCAACTCTTAACCCTCCGAGGTTTTTGTCGTTAATAAGACCAACCTTTTTACAGATGAGCCATTCCTTCCTACTTTGTAGTTTCCAATAAGTCTGAACACATTTTTGTGGATTGAGATTTCTTTGTTTTGGAAAAACGTTTCTTGAGGGTTTTCTATTTTTCACTTTTCTTGTTTTTCCAATATTCTCTTTTCATTCTTATGAGCATTCTTTAGTTGCGGAGTCATCCACTGTTTATCCAGGGGAGAGATCCATAGATAAATAAATAAACATAGATAGCTTATGTACGCAAAATCAGCAAGAATTGTACAGTCCGCGAATTCATACTTCTAGGGGTCAAAGTGTACTTTAATGATAAGCGGGGTGGTTTGGTGTTTTAATGGATTTCATAATAGACTGTAAAATAACTACGGGAATGGAACTATTTGAACAACAATATTTTACTGAGCAATATATCATATTGACGATAACTGAAAAAGGACATGAGAAGGACTAAACTAACTTAAATTTCTCTCTTCAGAACTCATGTACACCACAAGTACTCAATGACATAAGAACAGCCAATGTTCACAACCGACCTTGTTAATCTATATAATAGGAATATCTTTAAAACATCTCTGTACATTTATAAAGTTCAAGATGAAAAATGTCGTCTTATGCGCAATCTATCTTTATCTATGGAGAGATAGTTTCATATTTTTCACGAATAGTTTTGTGAAAAGTTATTGTTTTCTTGTTTAATTCATTTTCCATTAAAACTTCAGACCAGTTGTGTGCTGTAATAAACCTTCCAAACTCTTGTATTCCAGATTGTGGTAAAGGTCTTGTACATATTCTTCTCTTCTCTAGTAGGTTTGTTGTTGTGTTGATGGAGTTTGGGATAAGAATAACAACCTTATGACCTCTGGGTTGACCCTAAAGGTCGTCATCATTCTCTAGTGAAGGTTTAACAAAGGGTGGGTAGTAGAGCTCCTTTATATAAGTGATGATGACATCAAGTATTCTGTTGTTATGTGTGTGCTTGAGGACAGGTACAGCTGACAGCATCAGTTTTTATGTCCAAGTCATTGATATCACCACAAATAATAAACTTAATCTTGCCAAACTTGACCAGTAGTAAGAAGACTGAGCTGATGAGAAATTCAGTAGTTTCAGCCTTTTTTCTGAACCTTGGCGGGACATACACATCAGCAGCAACATCTAACTTCTTTTTTTCTGGACCTTGGTGGAACATACACATCAGCAACAGCTAACTTCTTTTTTTCTGGACCTTGGTGGGACATACACAGCAGCAACAGCTAACTTCTCTGTTTGATACAGGGTGTCCCACAAAACATGACAGTTGGTAAACAGCTTAAAATGTCTTATTCCAAAATTTGATAAGTTGTTTGATACTAAAGAGACTAAAACATTTTTTATGTGACAGTTATACTATAGTAAAATTGATTTCACAGTAAAATATATATGAGTTATTAAACATTTTCTTAAAGAAATTAACTGCAAAAAGTCTTAAACATCTAATACAGTCAGTGGAAGAAGACATTCCAAACTATTCACCAATTGTCATGTTTCGTGGGACACCCTGTAGTTTCGAGAATATGTTGTGTTCCAACCTGTATTATATTTGATATATTTTGACAGGGTTTAATTGAAACCCTAGTTTTCACACTTGAACTAAACATATTTAACCTAAAGTATGCATCAGAGGTCTTCAGTCAGCAGTACATGCTGCTGTAATTTCAGTATTCAATGTGTATCTACAGGGTGTCCCAAAAAACATGGGAATTCAGTGACGAATTCGATATCGTCTTTGTTATGAATTAGCATTGTGTCACCTAATTTTAAAACCCATAATATTATTATGTCTGCTAGAGTTTGTTTTATGAAAAGGATAAAAGAATGTAAATATGTGTCTATAATGTCTCAGCAAGATGAACAGTGAATACGGACAAGTTTACTCTGTTTGTATACTGCAATTTTCTTGTTTTACAACTTTTTATCACGTTCAATTAATCTCAATATCCACAGTAGACACTTCTGATTTTCTGTTTAACCCTCTCTTTTGCTTATCTTTATTATTCCAATCAATGAGAGACCTCTTGTTGATTGGCTGTTCGGTTTATGCAAACAACATTTTAAATATTATATTAATCGACAGATTAAGAAAAAGAGGAGATCAAGCATAAATCAAAATGTCCACAATTCCAAAGCTTTCAGCTCAGAGCTGGGAACTTTTAATTGGGATACCCTTAAATTCCGTTCGGTTCATTAATCTGGGGATTAATAATAAGAACACGCATTGTTTGACCTGGAGATTAAAAAAGAGGAGATAAAACATTGAACTCGATATCAACCATTCTAAAGTTGCTCAGGATACATTGAGAATGGAATTTTTTCTGTTGACTTCTTTGTGGACTTCTTGGCCGTACTTATTGTGTGTACTTCTTGTATGCACTTCTTGTCATAGCTTTTTATATGTACTTCTTGTATGTGATTCTTGTATGTGGTTCTTGTATGTACTTCATGTGAGTGATTCTTGTATGCACTTGTTGTATGTACTTTTTGCATGTACTTCTTATATATACTGCTTGTATGAACTATGTATGTTCTTCTTCTATATACTTCTTAATTATGTACTTGTTTTATATGCTTCCTGTATGTACTTCTTGTATGTACTTCTTGTATGTACCTCTTGTATTTGCTTTATGTATGTTCTTCTTGTATGTACTTCGATGTATGTTCTTTTTGTATGCAATTCTTATATGTAATTCTTGCATATACCTCTACTTACTTTTTGTATGCACTTCAGTGTATTCATTGCGTGTACTTATTGTATGTACTTCTTGTATTTCCTTCTTATGTCAGTGTGTACTTATTGTATGTTTTTGTTTTATGTCTTCTTGTGTTTACTTTTGCTGTACTTTTTATATGTGAATATGATGGATTTAAAAACTAGAAGTTCTAGTGTTTTATTTTCAACTTCCAAGTGTAAGATCTTGTTCTTAAACTAAGCACAACTAATAAATGGAGAGGGAGGAGGAGGAGGAGGAGGAGGAGGGAAGGACGGAGAGGAGAAGAATGAAAAGGAGAGGAATTGCGGAGTTTCTTTCTCCAGGGTTTGGTTAGAACAGGGCATTCACAGTCAACACAGGAATCATGATTTTAGGTGAGCAAAGAAACTACATCAAAACCTAATTTCTCCGTCCGGTTTCGTCAGTTTTCAAAATTTAATTCTTTTAAAGAAAAGTTATGTGTTACGTCATGGTTGGGTGAATGACCTAACTTGTCAAATATTCCGCTTTCTCCTACATCAATCCCAAGCTTTAAGCTTAAATCAGGTTTACGTGTATTCAACGATATTTAATAGGGTGGAATAATCATTACAATATAATAGAAACGGTTTATAATCAGCTTTATGTTTTACCTGTGGCCTCTCATACTTATAAATAAATACAGGGTAGGGTGTCCCTTAAAATGTACTTTTCTTGATTGTTTTGTACAAATATTGTAAGTACCAGGGGAGAATACAGGAATATATTATTGTACAGTGTACAAGTTTTGAGGTGTAATTAGTTATATCTTATTCACCCAAGAAATCTACAGTGTTCTGTATCATCTTTTTCTCATTGGAGTATTAGGACTTTCACTTACATTACATCGCATTGTTTAATGTTTATAACTCAGTACGCTTTACGATCATCTTTAGAACATAATCTTTTAAAATATTATAAAAATATGAAATGATTTGTACATTTGCTGTAGTTTAGACAATTTACTATTTGGAATTTCAGAATTCTTATCATAGTAATTTATTATAATAATTTATAATTAATTTAACTATGCTTCTCTAGGGTTGTTGTTGTTGTTGTTGTAGGTTAGTGTAGAGGGTGGTGTACACTGTACACTGTACAAATACATTCTATATTTATTTAGTAGGGTTGTTGTTGGTTAGTGTAGAGGGTGGTGTGCACTGTGCACTGTACAATGTACAAATACATTCTATATTTATTTAGTAGGGTTGTTGTTGGTAAGTGTATAGGGTGGTGTACACTGTACACTGTACAAATACATATTTATTGAGTATGGTTGTTGTTGGTTAGTGTAGAGGGTGGTGTACACTGTACACTGTTCAAATACATTCTATATTTATTTAGTAGGGCTGTTGTAGGTTAATGTAGAGGGTGTTTGTGTGCACTGTACACTGTACTTCTACATATATATACTATTAGTTATGTAGGAGGGTTGTTGTTGTTGTTGTTGATAGTTAGTGTGGAGGGTGGTGTACACTGTACAGTGTACTTCTACATATATATAGTATTAGTTATGTAGAAGGGTTGTTGTTGTTGTTGTTGCTGGTTATTGTAGAGGGTTGTGTGCACTGTACACTGTACTTCTACTTATATATACTATTACTCATGTAGAAGGGTTGTTGTTGTTGTTGATGGTTAGTGTGGAGGGTTTTGTGCACTGTACAACTACATATATATGTATCTAGAAGGGTTGTAGAATTGTTGTTGATTAATTTAGAAATTATATTTGTTTAGGAGGGTTGTTGTTGTTGTTGGTTAGTGTGAAGGGTGGGGTGGAGGAGAGTATTGATAGAACAGCTGGAGAAAGACAGAAACATGATCAAATTCAGGCAAATCAATATTTCATTCTAAAAATTAGGATATCTGTAATTCACACAGAATGTTAGTATGACCCGAGGATTACCAGGATGAGATACTAAAGGCTATGAAGGATTCTGGAGTACTTAATGAGTGGAAGGATAAGCTGGATGATCTACTCTATCAGGTTCATATTTCAATATTTCATCAAGTCAACATTTTCTAAACTTACACTAGATGTCTGTACAAACTCGTTATGAGGTTATGAATCTGTTCTTCGCAAACCTGTTTCTCATCTCTCTAATTAATGTTTGATGATCTGAATTATCTATTACTGGTTTAAACCTGGCGTAATTTAGTATAAACTCGTTTTTTTCCCCTACTCTGAACTTATCCTTGTAAATCATTATTCTTCACATCATTCTTTTTCTTAATCTCATTTTCTTCTCTTTAAACAATTTATTTTCCTTCGAAACAAAACTTTCTACTTTTGACCAAAAACCTCTCTTGTTAAACTTCATTTTCTTTTAATCGTCATTTTTTTCTAGGTTTCTACACTTAATCTTGGTTTTTATTCAAAATTTCGGTTTCTGCTCCAAATCATGGTGTCTACTCATAATCTCGGTTTCTACTCATAATCTTGGTTTCTACTCATAATCTTGGTTTCTTCTCAAAATTTCGGTTTCTACTCCAAATCTTGGTTTCTACTCAGATCTTGGTTTCTACTCATAATCTTGGTGTCAACTCATAATCTTGGTTTCTACTCATAATCTTGGTTTCTACTCATAATCTTGAAGTCTACTCATAATCTGTGTTTCTACTCTTAATCTTTGTTTCTACTCTTAATCTTGGTTTCTACTCCTAATCTTGGTTTCTACTCTTAATCTTGGTTTCTACTCCTAATCTTGGTTTCTACTCATAATTTTGGTTTCTACTCATAATTTTGGTTTCTACTCATAATCTTGTTTTCTACTTATAATCTTGGTTTCAACTCACAATCTTGGTTTCTACTCATCTTGGTTTCTACTTATAATCTTGGCTTTTACTCATAATCTTGGCTTTTACTCATAATCTTGGTTTCTACTCAAAATCTTGGTTTCTACTTATAATCTTGGTTTTTACTCATAATCTTGGTTTTTACTCATAATCTTGGTTTCTACTCACAATCACGGTTTCTTGGTTCTTAAAATATCCTCCTAAACCACGATATCTTCTCCTAAACTTCAATATCACCTTCTAAACCTTAATATCTCCTCCAAAACACCAATAATTTCTACGAAACAATATTTCCTATATACTTCATCATAAACTTTAATATCTACTCTTGAACCTCAATATCTCCTCCTAATCCTTACTATCTATATCTGAACCTTAACATTTCATCGCTAAACCTCAATACCTACTCTAGAACCTCAATATCTAACCTTAATATATTTTCATAAAGCTTCATCTCTTTTCTTAAAAAATATCCCTAGTCTCCTAAACATCAATATTCCTTCCTGATTGAGCATCTACTTTTCAAGACTTAAATTTCGATTCTGCAAAACAAAAATTACAGCCTATTATAAGATTTGTATGTCTTATTCACAACGGTACCCTTGAAACCTTTATCCGATCAAGATTGGCAAAAAATATCTAAATTTTTTTTAAATTGCGGTTTCTCTGTAAAAAAACTTGCTGATTTATGCAGCAGAGAAAAAGATGGAATTTACATTTTCCGTTAAAAAAGTGATAATAGCTTTTTCATTGCTGTTCATTGCTGTGATTGTGAATCGGAAATGTCACTTTATATCTGGAGGATCTGTGAAAATTACGTTTACTGTCCCTTTAATTCTTATTTTAATCCCAGGGAAATGAGGTTGAGGATGAGGGTAAGGTTAAGAACCTGCTAAATCCTCAGGAGGAGAGCATGGTGACCTCCTTCGTCGAGGCGTACACCCAGGAGAAGAATATCGACGTGGAACCAAGTAAGCAAATAATCACTTACACTAGAAGATTAAGAAAGAGAAATTACGTATAAAAAGCATATATAACATTTTTTCTAGGCACTATTCTTGATATTGTAAGACGAGTACAGAAGACCCCCTCCCCCAACCTTGCCCAGATATTTGTTCAGTTGTCTCCCCTCATAGACGTAGTCTCCGCTATCCAGAAAAAGACGACCAAACTCCAGAATATAATTGACCGACAAGCTCCAGTGTTTGAATCTCCCGCCAAAACTAAGGTAAAGATTAATGCACGGAATCATTTTCAGGGTTTTTAGGTCATCAACAGACCTATCATTAGGGTATCAACAGACCTATTTTTAGGTTATCAACAGATCTATTTTTAGGTTATTAACAGACGTATTTTTAGGTTATCAACAGACGTATTTTTAGGTTATCACCAGACGTATTTTTACTTATCAATAGTTTATACACTGTAAATTCAAAAACAGTTTTGTAAAAATTACAAGGAAACCATTAAATATAAAAAAAATTATTTTTAGGATATTCTTCATACTTTAACAGAAAATCTTAAATCTGAATTGGTTCGATTAACCTTGGATAGTGCTCCTCCAAAGGTAAACCAAGTTTTTTTTTTAAATATAACATATATTCATAGTTACAATTATGGAACATTAATAATAATAAAATATATATTCATGGTGACAATTATGGAATTTAATAATAATAAAACATGTATTCATGGTGACAATTATGGAACATTAATAATAATAAAACATATATTCATGGTGACAATTATGGAACATTAATGATAATAAAACATATATGCATAGTGACAATTATGGAACATTAATAATAATTAACCATATATTCATGGTGACAATTATGGAACATTAATAATAATAAAAACATATATTCATGGTGACAAGTTTGGAACATTTTGCTGTCATGAAGAATATCAAGTTTAGATTTTTTATAACTGAACATTCCTTTAATTGAAAAAATGTTGAGGCTAAGACGAAGACGAAGACAGCTCCCCCTCCCCCTCCTAAAAAGAAGGAAAAGAAAACTGGTTTAGATATCTCAGATTATCTATCTCTAGGTCAGGACAAAAAAATCTTTCTTGCTATTTTTAAGTTTTTAATGATTTTTTGATTGTTTGATTTTAAAATAAAATATTTGATCAGGAAGTACATTGCTGAAGGGAGGTAATGCAGGCACTATTCTTTCCCTTCTTTCAGGTGAGTGATCAATCAATCGAATCAATCAAATCATTTAAATTATTAAATCAGTTACATTAATAAATCAGTTGAATCGGTTGAATCGGTTGAAACTTGAATCTGTTGAACCGGTTGAATCGATTGAATCGGTTGAATCAGTTGAAACGGTTGAATCAGTTGAAACGGTTGAATCAGTTGAATCAGTTGAATCAGTTGAACAGTTATTTTAGTATACTTATTTGCAATGTAACATTAACATTAAAAACAATAATGCAGTCAAAATCATTAACAAAATGAAATGTTTAGGAGAAACTGATATGAGTAGTATGATGAGTCTTCTGCCCCAGCTGATTGAGAACGGAAACTACAAGGTCAGTTTTCTTCATTTTTATGGAACTATCTTGTTCTTTCTAGTTCAGATCTTACTGGAACTATCTTGTTCTTTCTAGTTCAGATCTTACTGGAACAATCTTATTCTTTCTAGTTCAGATCTTACTGGAACTATCTTATTCTTTCTAGTTCAGATCTTACTGGAACTATCTTGTTCTTTCTAGTTCAGATCTTACTGGAACTATCTTGTTCTTTCTAGTTCAGATCTTACTGGAACTATCTTGTTCTTTCAAGTTCAGATCTTACTGGAACTATCTTATTCTTTCTAGTTCAGATCTTACTTGAACTATCTTGTTCTTCCTAGTTCTAGTTTAGATCTTACTTGAACTATCTTGTTCTTCCTAGTTCTAGTTTAGATCTTACTGGAACTATCTTGTTCATCCTAGTTCTAGTTTAGATCTTACTGGAACTATCTTGTTCTTCCTAGTTCTAGTTTAGATCTTACTGGAACTATCTTGTTCTTCCTAGTTCTAGTTTAGATCTTACTGGAACTATCTTTTTCTTCCTAGTTCTAGTTCAGATCTTACTGGAACTATCTTTTTCTTTCTAGTTTAGATCTTATTTAAACTATCGTGTTCTTTCTAGTTTAGATCTTATTTGAACTATCTTGTTCTTTCTAGATCAGATCTCTCTGGAATAATCTTGTTCTTTCTAGTTCAGATCTTACTGGAACTATCTTGTTCTTTATAGTTCAGATCTTACTGGAACTATCTTGTTCTCTCTAGTTCCAGTTCAGATCTTACTAGAGCTATCTTGTTCTCTCTAGTTCCAGTTCAGATCTTACTGGAACTGTCTTGTTCTCTCTAGTTCCAGTTCAGATCTTACTGGAGCTATCTTGTTCTCTCTAGTTCCAGTTCAGATCTTACTGGAACTATCTTGTTCTTTCTAGTTCCAGTTCAGATCTTACTGGAACTATCTTGTTCTTTCTAGTTCCAGTTCAGATCTTACTGGAGCTATCTTGTTCTCTCTAGTTCCAGTTCAGATCTTACTGGAACTATCTTGTTCTTTCTAGTTCCAGTTCAGATCTTACTGGAACTATCTTGTTCTTTCTAGTTCCAGTTCAGATCTTACTGGAGCTATTATGTTCTTTTCCAGGCCTAGTTCCAGTTCAGAATCCTGGAACTATCCTTCTTAAACCTTGTTTTCTAGGATCTACTGAGTAAGATGGTTCTAGGATACCTTGAATCGTCTCCATATGGTGCACTAATTAAGAATATGATGCAGGGTTGGCTGGACAGTGAACAGGTAGAAAATATTGAAATGACTTGTAAATAAAATAAATCCGATTTTTTAGCTACCCTCTACTTTTGAATCACTTATTCTTATCCCTTCTATCTATCCTTCCTAATCTTTAATCAACATTTTCTGGCCGTTCTTATTCTTAGATTTTAATTTGAAGATTTTTTATAAAGTTTTCTTGATTTAGGGTAAGAGTATAATCAGCAGTGGATACAAGTACCTGGAGATATTTGTTAAATCTGAATCCGGAGCAAGACTTACTAAAATCCTGCCTAAACTTCTCCAAACCAAGGACATGGATGCAGTTCTGAAGGTTTGCATTTTATATCACTTTTTGGGGTGCAGCTGCAGTATTATGCATCCTCCATTGCATCCTGTAGTGCATCCTGAATTTGAATGTACATTTTTAGAAATTACGAACTTTTTAAACTTGCTTTTTCTAAATTCTTTTTTATCTAATTTCGTTAAAACTGTTTTAAGTTTATTTTAAACAAAGTTTATCTCATATTTAATATTTAGTTGGTTCATGAAGAGGCAGAGTTCAACTGGTCCCAGGTAACTAAACTTATAACTTTCATGAATTCTCCCTTTCAAATGATAAATAAAAGATAAAAAGTTTCTACATTTTATTTGCAAAGAAACTGATTACCTGCCTCAAGCTTTAATTCTCTGATCCTTAAGTCTTTGTAATCTGAAGACAAAAGTTTGAGGTAACAGAAAGGTTTGCACCATCAGATTGTAAAGATTTAGGAATGAAAAATTAGATTCTGAGGCTAGCTATCACATCCTTTTTGCATGGCCTGAAGTTTGCTAACTAGATTTTTTTCAACATTTATTGATCGACCATAAACCATTAGTAAGATTCTGTTAGTTGGAACCAACAAACCATATCTAATATAAATGATTAGGTGTTTGAGAACATAGAGAACAGTGATTACAAGGAGAAGAGTCTTCAACAATGCTCAGAGTATATAGGTTCGCTTTTATAAATAATTTTCGATAAACCTCTTGGTTAGATTCTCTTTGGCTGATTTTCATTCCATGACATGAATTAGAAGTGAAATAATAGTCTTACTTCGGTTCTCTTTATGCCTACGAGTTTAAATACATATATTTAACTGCTGGTCTGATTTGTTTTTTTACATTACTGAAAATAAAGAAAAAAAATGTATTTCAGTCTATGCCAATGATTTTAATACCTATAATATTTCATTGTATTCCTATGAGTTTATATTCTATAATATTTCAGTATATGCCTATGAGTTTATTACCTATAATATTTCAGTGTATGTCTATGAGTTTATACCCTATAATATTTCAGTGTATGCCTATGAGTTTATTGCCTATGATATTTCAGTGTATGTCTATGAGTTTATATCCTATAATATTTTAGTGTAGGCCTATGAGTTTATTGCCTAAAATATGTCAGATGTATGCTCATGAGTTTATATCCTATAATTTTTCAGTGTATGTCTATGAGTGTATTGTCTATAATGTTTCAGTGTATAGCCCATGAGTTTATTACCTAGAATATTTCACTGTATATCAATATGTTTATTACCTATAATATTTCAGTGTATTCCTATGAGTTTATTGCCACTAATATTTCATTGTATTCCTATGAGTTTATATTCTATAATATTTCATTGTATTCCTATGAGTTTATATTCTATAATATTTCAATGTATGCCTATGAGTTTATTGCCTAAAATATTTCAGTGTATGCCTATGAGTTTATATCATATAATATTTCAGTGTATAGCCCATGAGTTTATTGCCTACAATGTTTCAGTGTATACCTATGAGTTTATATCATATAATGTTTTAGTGTATGTCTATGAGTGTATTGTCTATAATATTTCAGTGTATAGCCCATTAGTTTTATTTCCTCTAATATTTCAGTGTAGCCCATGAGTTTATTGCCTATAATATTTCAGTGTATGTCTATGAGTTTATTGCTGCAATATTTCAGTGTATGTCTATGAGTTTATTACCTTTAATATTTCAGTGTACGCCTTTGAGTTTATTACCTATAATATTTCAATGTATGTCTATGAGTTTATTACCTATAATATGTCAGTGTACGTCTATGAATTTATTTCCTTTAATATTTCAGTGTACGCCTTTGAGTTTTTTACCTATAATATTTCAGTGTATGTCTATGAGTTTATTACCTATAATATGTCAGTGTATTCCTATGAGTTTATTACCTATAATATATCAGTGTATATCTATGAGTTTATTACCTATAATAGTTCAGTGTATGTCATATGAGTTTATTACCTATAATATTTCAGTGTATGCCAATGAGTTTATTTCCTGTAATATTTCAGTATATGCCTATGAGTTTATTACCTCCCCTCCGAAGGGTAGTATGGCGGCCAGAGCTCCAATTCTAATGAACGGAGTACTAATGTCAAACGGTGTTCCTCCGTTCGATTCAAATAAACCAGTTGAATCCATTTCTGCTATTCTAAATAAGGTATTTATTTTTTGAGCCTTCATTATTTTTTGTTTCATCTACTCATGTGTGTCAAGTGTGTTTATTGTAGACCATTATCTATCAAATCATATGATTGTCAATTCGAATTGGTGTCTGAAGCTTGGTATTGTCTAATAATTATCTAAAGCTTGAGATTGCCTTGGTTTGCTTTTTATTATAAATAAATTCGATATAACAAATAAATGTTACTTTAATCTGTCTATAAAGGTAAAAATGGTTAAACAATGTCTTATACCCCAGAACCTTTCATTTTTCACGAACACTACCTATAAGCAAAAGTATACTAAACGATAGAGATTGATAAAACATGGAGATCAGCTAATAAGTATCTAATGTTTGTGTATATTTAGGGAATAAAGTTATTTTCAACATTAAAACTTGATGTTACACCATACGTTCAAGTAGTTGTTACTGCAGCTAGCCAGGTAATTATTATAATCAATAACTTTATTATTATTGTTTAACCCCCTGATCAAATTTTATTTAATTATTGGGTAGCTAAATTCATATTCAAAAACTTTTGATACTTTTTCTTTTAGAACTTTATTTCTTCAAACCTTAACAATATAAACCTTTTCTAAAAATTTGTTCTAACCTATTTTCTATATTTTTCCGATTTTTTCTAGGCGTTTGCAAGACAGGCGAAGGGAAACAGTTTCTCTGATCTTGATACAACACAGAGAACCCATCTTCTGGCTCGTCTAATAGATGCAGAACTAGTTGAACCTCTACAGGTACAAGGTTTAAAGGAACTAGTAGAACCTCTGCAGGTTCAAGGTTTAAAGGAACTAGTTAAACCCCTACAGGTACAAGGTTTAAAGGAACTAGTTGAACCTCTACAGGTTCAAGGTTTAAAGGAACTAGTTGAACCTCTACGGGTTCAAGGTTTAAAGGAACAAGTAGAACCTCTACAGATACAAGGTTTAAAGGAACTAGTAGAACCTCTACAGGTTCAAGGTTTAAAGGAACTAGTTGAACCTCTGCAGGTACAAGGTTTAAAGGAACTAGTTGAACCTCTACAGGTACAAGGTTTAAAGGAACTAGGAGAACCTCTACAGGTTCAAGGTTTAAAGGAACTAGGTTCAAAGGAACTAGTTGAACCTCTACAGGTACAAGGTTTACAGGAACTAGTTGAACCTGTACAGGTTCAAGGTTTAAAGGAACTAGTAGAACCTCTACAGGATAAGGTTTAAAGGAACTAGTTAAACCCCTACAGGTTCAAGGTTTAAAGGAACTAGTTGAACCTGTACAGGTTCAAGGTTTAAAGGAACTAGGAGAATCTCTACAGAGTCAAGGTTTAAAGGAACTAGTTGAACCTCTACAGGTACAAGGTTTAAAGGTACTAGTAGAACCTCTACAGGACCTGGTTTAAAGTAACTAGTAGAACCTCTGCAGGTTCAAACTTTAAAGGAACTAGGAGAATCTCTACAGATTCAAGGTTTAAAGGAACTAGTAGAACCTCTACAGGTTCAAGATTCAAAGAAACTAGTAGAACCTCTACAGGACAAGGTTTAAAGTAACTAGTAGAACCTCTAAAGGTACAAGGTTTAAAGGAACTAGTAGAACCTCTGCAGGTTCAAGGTTTAAGGGAACTAGTAGAACCTCTGTAGGTTCAAGGTTTAAGGGAACTAGTAGAACCTCTACAGGTTCAAGATTTAAAGGAACTAGTAGAACCTCTACAGGTACAAGGTTTAAAGGAATTAGTTAAACCCCTACAGGTACTAGGTTAAAAGGAAATAGTAGAACCTCTAGCAGATCCTTTCATATTTCAAATCATAATTCTGATTCATGGCTTGAAATATCACTATTAGGCTCCCATGATAAAGAGATTAGAATATAAGTTAAAAGGCCAGTCATCTGTTGCCTTGTTTTGAGTAAGCAATAATAAGTAAAAGTAATATTAATATATTTAAATGAATTGATATTTTCAAATACTTTATTTAGGCTGTTTGGAGCGTATACTCCCACTCGGTTAGAAACCTAGATTGTGCTTCTCATCTACTTTGTCAGGTAGGCTTATATGACTTGTATCATTGTATTAATTGGTGTTCAGTTTGTCAGGTAGGTTATAGGTCGTCATTGTTTTTTTTGTAGTATAGAGGTCGTCATCGTATTGTTGGTTAGTTTGTTAGGTAGGGTAAAGGTCGTCATTGTATTGTTGGTTAGTTTGTTAGGTAAAGTTAAAGGTCGTCATTGTATTTCTGATCAGTTTGTTAGGTAGGTTATGGGTCGTCATTGTATGGTTAGTTTCTCAGTAAGATATAGATTATAGGTCGTCATTGCATGGTTGGTTTCATCATTAGGTTAATCCATGTTTTTTTACTCTATAAGCTTTTTTGTATTTTTAACTTAATTGTTGGTGTACTAACTTTGTTATAGGTTTATTTATTTTATCATATGATTACTCAATAGTATATTTCTTAATGAATTTATTATTGCACATTGTTGGGTATATTTCTCAATTTTTTAAAAACAAACTTCTGTAGATCTTAATGTTGGTTTCTTATTTTATCAATATTTTTTATTGCTAATTGGATTGCATATGTTTCATGTATTGGTGGTTTAATTTTCTTGATAGTTTTTTCTTAAACTGATCAATTTACTGGACTGTTCTCAACTTCTCATGCGTTGTCGTGTTTTGGTTTACTTTTTTTAGTTTTTGGTTATAAATTGTATTGTTATAAAGTGGAATGTAAAATAGGTTTTGATTTTTTGTTGAAATGGCAATTAATATTTTTTCTCTATAATTAAATTTTTTCAGGTGAACTACCACGAAAGAGAATCTGGAGTTGAATCCAGGTAAAAAAATTACTAATACAGCATACCAAATTAATTCATCGGTTGATATGTTGCTAATTTTGAAACACTTTCCCGGTTTCTAGCATTTTAAGGTTATAGGATATATAGGTAGAAAAAAAAATACAGAAAAAAGTAAAATGGTTTTTATAAATACCAATTCTATACAATTAAATCAAATTTTATCAGAAATTTAGGGATTTACCAAAACCTTCCGAGTTTCAGAATGGAGTTTCAAGTCCTCATTTACAGCATTGACCTTTTCTATTGCATACAAACTAAGTTTGAAAGTAATTGTAAAATTTATTGTTTGTCCAGGATTGGTTTAGTGAAGCTGGGCAGTCTGGCCGTCAGCTGGACCCTGGCCCAGGTCAAGAACAAGGCAGGAGCCAACTACTGGAACCTTTACAAGGTATTCAAGAAAAAATGTATAATACATCCAAACATTTTTTAACATCAGGAAAATATTTATAAATATGAATATTTTACTAAATCCTTAAAAAAATACTAATTTTCATTGAAAAAAATATTTCAACCTAACTAATTATCCTCAAATCTCAATTTCTTTTCAGAAAGATTAATTATATTTCAAAATTTTTAATTGAAATTTTTTTATTGATTTGTATAATAACGGTTATAAAACTCTTGAATAGGAAGACTACTTTCAGTCTTAAGTTCATAATAGTAATCTATATAATAAATAAAGACATTCATATATGTGTTGCCTATAGCGGGCCAACGGCTGAACCGAATGAGCTGAATTTTTTTTGTGGACACTCATGAGTTGCTGGGGGGGGGGGNTTATTATATATGACATTTTTTGAGGGAACTTTGAAATACCACTGGCAAAATTCGATTTTTTTTATTCCACGGGCAACGTCGGATACTTCAATCCTATAATATTGTTTTTATAGGGTAATGCTTTTTAAGAACTATAACTTTATGATCATCAAAAGCAGAAAGTGGAAACTAGAACTATTTATATTATATATTTTGTCCCGAAATACTGCACTCCCTTCTAAATAAAGAAATATAACTTGTAGAAACTTTATAAATATATCCAAGGTTAGATACAATAATATTATAAACTTATTGTGACTTTGTTTGTGTAAATCTAATATCGTAGTGGCTTAATGCTCGGTACCTTTGACTATCCCATCCGCAGCGCTATGACCAGGAATGTCTGAACCTTTTGTAAAATAAAAGTATTTATTATTCCGTGTATTTACGATCAACATTTTGTTGTAATTGTTGTTACTAAATTGATTGGGAGGTAAGGGGTCGCAAAGTTTTTAGGTTCAGGTTAAACATATAACTTTTAAAATTATTTTAAAGCATGTATTGTCTGAACATGACGTACAACTTATACGGGATTAAGGCTGATTGTTTATCATTATTATTATTCGCGTACAATATCGTATAGAGCGATGATGCAATATTGAAAAATTCCTGGGACGGAGGAAACGGAAATGATTGCATGGTTCAGTACAAAACTAAGGACAAGTCCTGCAACATCTTCCCCTGGCAGGACAAGGGGTTCATGAGCATGTCCTACGATCATATCGAGCTCTAACCCAATTGAGTAGTGAAGAACTAGACAAAAATTTCAAGAACAGTTCCTTTAAAATATAAAATAGATTAAGTGAATTTGGAGACAAATGCGAAAAAAGTTTTAATCAACAGATCTTAAAACCAAAAGTTGAGTTTCATAATTGATCTGTACAATCTGTGATCAATGCATTAATGATTGATTATAGATCGCTACACTCTACAGTCCTTCCAGACTCCAGATCATACAAACATTATCAAAACAGTGCTTCCCGTGTTAATACATAATTTGTAGATAACTTTTTTGCCTCTTTTCTGAGAAAGTTTAATTCTTAAATTAATTTAAAAATTTTGAAAAGCATATTTCTCATTTACTCTTCATCGTTCTCGGTTGTTCTGTGATACAATTAAAATTTCAAAAACCATATTTTTAGAGTAAAAGTTCGAAAGTAATGTTATGATGAAAAAAAATAAAAATAAAATAGAACAAAATCTAAATTATGTGTTACAGATTTTACAAAGTTGTTGAATTGCATTTATATGCAATATATTGTCGATAAACTTGTCCTAAATTAGTCCACGAAGAAATAGGAGTAGGACCCTGTTATTCTAATATGAAATAGTCGATGTAGTTTTCTGTGGTATCATGGAGTACTATGGATATAAACTGCCCCCCCCCCCAAAAAAAAAATGTGATATATCATGTTTAAGGTCTGATACTTTGATACCGTTCATACATGTGTCCATCAATTGTGCATTTGCTACTTAATGTGAAAGAAAAAGAATCCCATACATACGGGGATGCTCAGAGGGGGGGGGGAATAAAACTACTAACCCCTCTCCCACGGAATGTACGCTATAGGGGGGAGTGACATTTTCGCTACTGCAGCTGTCCTGGTCACTTTGCTCGCCACTCGGCCCGAAAAATGTCTATATTAACCAACCATCCTTAATTGAAATGTATGCTTAACAGCATATGTGTAAAGATACAATTGATACTTGCCGCGGCTAGGAAAGGCTAGGGGCCGGGCGCAATCAGTAGCTGTAAAACCACGTTCTAGTAGGTCAGATGTGTAGTATAGCGGATTTGTGTAGGTCGAAAAATACGGCAGACACCATCGATAAGACACCATTTTTGAATGTCGTCTTATTGTAACTTTCACTTCGCCTATGCCGCTGAATATCTTTAATATTAAAATATTGCATCAGTCGTGTTGTCACATGGAACGAGTATCGACACTGACAATCGACTTTCTAATAAAAAAGTGCTATTACGTCGTTGAAATTTTAAATATGTCGAATAATCGTTAAATATGTTTCTTGATGCGAAGTATGGAATAACTTATTGACAATAATAATTTTCAGATTAATAATATAAGATTGAACTTTTAAAAATGTCTGAAGCTCTTGAGTTAAAGATTAAAGAGCAAGGAGATATTGTTCGGAAACTTAAAGCGGATAAAGCTACTAAAGACCAGGTAAAGATATGTGCTGTTAGGGGGTTAAAGTGCCCCCCCCCCTCCCAAGAGAAATACTAGTAATTTCCAAGAGAACGAATTTTGGACCCCCAACCCTATTGATTTTGTACACGGATCTCATATGTAACGCATGGATATAATCGGCCTTGTGGCCGCAGTGCCCGGCCCTCTAGCCAGTCCCAACCGCGGCGTTGGCCTCTTTGCCTGTCCTAGCCGCAGCCCTCGGCCCAGAAATAGTCTTAACCTAACCTAACCCTTCAATAATACAAAATAATTAATAATAAGTTTGTTGAAAANAGGGAAGGGGGGAAGATTTTTTTGTCCTTCTCGCGAATATATTCCCCTATATCTTAAATTCTGAATCCGCCCTTGTCGCCTCAAACTGGAATTATAGAATTTTAGAAATCCACTTTGCACTTTAGACATCTACGAAACTGTTCTGTCACATCTGCAAACTTCTGAAATGAATTTACAAACCTGTATTGCATTTTTAGAGGCCTGTCTTTGAAACGTTTAAAAGCAAGGAGGAACTAGAAGTTTTGGAATTCTTCTTTTTAGGATAGTTTAAAGGATAAATAAGTGCTTGAGCACAACTCTCGTTCCCTTTATTTTGACGTTTCTTTTGTCCCAGCTAAAATTTTTTTTCTAATTTCGTTAACAAAAGCAAGATTAACGAGTAATTTCTTCTTCTATTTGTTTGTGGAAACAATCTAAATTTACAATTTGAATTTTAACTTCTTATTTTAAAAAGAAAATTACGTTTTTGTTTATTTTTGTTTACACTCAGCCAATTAGATCTGCATTTTATAGACATTGAAAAACGGTTATTAATTTTATCTTTATTTTATATCACATATCCTCTTGTTATAAAGATCACAGCTATATTTTGGATTACTCGCCTTCAAGTTTGGATTTTTTTCTTCTAAATAAATTAAAAGGCAGGGGTATAAATCTTTAAAAGAAACTAATCAACCTTTTTTCAAAAATCAGATTTTTCGTGTATATTTTAGCTTGATTTAATATTTTGCGAAAAATAAATGAGTTTTGGAAGGAAAATTATAAAATTAAATTCAGCAAATCAATATCCTACTTTTAAAAGGGGGGGGGGGCACAAAACGTATTACTCTCCGGAAAATTTAAACAGTGGTTAAACATAACTTAGAATTGTCGTAGGAGGCTGATTTTTTGCATGCAAACTCAGAATTATGTATATTATGTGCATTTTTTGGTTTTGAAGGAATCTGAGCAAAAGTGCGCGCGCGCGCGC